TTTGAGTGCCTGCTCACGTCGCAAACATCACTGCCTTGCCCTAGTTCCTAAATCCGGAAGATGCTTTTCCAACCTTGTGGGAAAAAAATTGGAAATGAGATAAGAATGTTTTTTTTTTTAGAATGTTCTTTCCATTTATTTGACTGACAAATAATCGGAAATAAAATAGACAGAATGGCCCATTTCGTGTTGTCTGTCAAACTCAAGGAGTTGGCTCGGTGTTCGATCCAATCACTCTTCTTGATCTGCAGAGGGAAAGTTCAGCCCCGGTAGTGTCGGTGTTTCCCAGAGAAAGCTCTGTGAGGTCAGGGCCTATGCCGTGTTCCCTGCTGCAGCCACGGAGTGCAGCGCATTGAAGGCACTCAGGCTAGTTAAGTGATTGCTCTTGTCTTCATCTCTTCCATGCCCATGTATCAGCAGCGCTGCCCCTGGGCGGAGCCGCACGTGGGCACTGGGGGAACAGAGATGGATCTGACCGTGAGTCTGAGGGGCTCTGAGTCAGGTGTAGGCGGATAGAGGGGTTGGAACCTGTGTGATTAAGGGTTCGAGAGAGCAGGCCAGGTGCGAGAGAGCAGGAGCAGCCAAAGGGACCACAGCTGACACAATCTCAACAGGGGGAGGAGAGTCAGGAGGTGACACTGTTAACCGAGGTCTCCAGAAAAACAGAACCAATAGTGTGTGTGTGTGTGTGTGTGTGTGTGTGTGTGTGTGTGTGTGTGAAGAAATTTATTATAAGGAATTGGCACATCTGAGCATGATGGTTGCAAGTCTCAAGATCTACTAAGTGAGCTGGCAGACTCAAGACCCAGAGAGAACTGATGTTTCAGCTCATGTCCAAAGGAAAGAAAAGGCCTATGTTAAGCAGTGTAATTAAATATCTGGGTACCCACTGTGGAGAGAGAGAACACACCTGACAAGGGTGGTAGTAAAGGCGTCACTACTTACTCTTCCCCTATGTGGGGAAGAGTAAGTAGTTCGAATGGTTCTACAGGGTGTAGGAAGGCCTGGGGTACTGGGCTGGTGGAGGACAAGCTTCAGGCTTGCACAGGAAGGCAGCGTCTGGCTTGGCCAAGTTGCGCTGGGCTGCAAGGGGGCTCTGGCGCAGAGCTGTGCAAGGGGCAGCTGGCTGGGCTGGGGGGACTGGAAATAGGTCTGAGCCACTGCCTGAGCTCCAGAACTATCAGCAGCATCTGTGTGGCTCTGAAGAAATGGGAGGAGAAGGGAAAGAGAGTGGGGAAGAAGGGCCAGAGAGGAAAGAGGAGAGGGGCTATGTGAAAACTGTGACATGCCACTCTCAGCTGGTCCAGATTCCAGGAGGGCCTGGAACAACCTGTCCACTTAATGCCAGCTCATTCCCAGCAGGGGCAGGTAGGAGGTGGTTGGGGACAGAAGGCAGCTTTCCCCAGTGGGCAGCGCCTGCGGTTTCCAGTCTCCTGTTGCACAACCCACTGTCGGGAAACTGGGTGGACTTCTCCCTGGGAAACTCCATGGGAAAGCGAGGGCCAGCCTGTGTTTGCTCTGTCCACAACGAACCAAGTTCCAGCCACGGACAGTCACCTCTCACAGTGACCAGCCCCCTGGTGCTGGGAAAGTAAGGGAGGGGCAGGCAACAAGGGCAGAGCCTGTGCCAGCTCCTTGACTGAACATGGCCTTGGGCGAGCCATTGCCTTTCTCTGAGCCTGTTTCTCCCCTGCAAAAAGGGGGTAAGATGCCCTTCCCTGCTTGCCACACAGACAGGGCTATCGTTTTATAATCATATGGTAAATCATGTGAAAAAAAATGATACTCAGCTGCTTTTGAACCTATAAAATTCATAGCATCATATGGTTCAACCCAATGACAGTGCCACTGCAACTAAGAGCGGCTACATTTCTTGCACACTGACTGTGGACCAGGAGCTGTGTTCCCGTGATACACTCGTGCCCATGCGAAACCCGCTGAGACAGACCCTGGCAATTCGGGTGAACACAGCCTCCCAAAGTCCCGAGAGGTCACCTAAGTTGCCCAACACCACGAAACAGGATTTGAACTTGGGCAAATCTTCTGTTCGGGTATTTCCTCAACCAAACACAAAGTTCCTAATTAGGACCGTGTACTCTGCCAACATATTCTTTGTGGCTGCTCAGGCGAAAGACCACGCAGTAGCCCTCAGGGCTCAGCCCTGGCCTGATGAAGAAGGAAAGATCAGGTGGCTTTCTCAGCAAACGAATCCTCTCCAATGGGTGCATTTGCCTGCTTGTCTAAACCCCGCCTCCTCGCCCCGCCCCCTTACCTTGCTGAGCCATCTGCCCCCTCACCATCTAAAGGGGAAAATAGCCTACTTCCTTGTTCCTCCTATAGTTATAATTTCGCCTTCTGTATCTTTAGGAGTGAGATGTAATCTGAAGTGATGGCCTGCAGGAATCTGTCTGTCTTTCCTCCCCACCCCAGCTTGTCATTAAACTGATGGTGATGATTATTATAAACAGGCAGACCCTCAGAAGCAAATTTGTTTCATTGAACGAGCCGTTCACGAATGTGAACCCATTTGATCCTCCTAAGACCCCCGAGGGGCAGTCTGAGAGTGAGTGTGGTGAGGACAACTCAGTCCTTCCGAGGAGAGGCGCTCCCTTTCTCGAAGGGAAGATCTGATTTCTCTCTTCCCAGAGCGCTGGCACCAATGGTGTGGGTGGGTGTTCTCGCACACCAAGGGAGCTGACTGTCCAGGTGTCAGCTGGGTGTCCTACCAGTCCCAGCCGTTCCGACTCTACCTGGAGTCGGCATCAGGTCCCACAGGGTAAGGGCTCAGTCCCGCAAGACTGTCTCCACTCGGAGGCCAATCACAAGTCCAGGTTGTCACTGGTGCTTCTGACGGGGCCTGCCTTTTAGTTGGGCAATCTTCAAGAACAGCTCACAGAACTCGGGGAAAATAGTTTGCTTACGAGATTAACAGTTTATTATAAAAGGATCTAACCCAGGAACAGTCAAAGGGAGGAGACACAGGGAGTGAAGCTGGTGTTGGGGCGCAGCCTCTCACGTGCTCTCTGAGTGGGCCACCCGTCCAGCACCTCCACAGGTGCCCCAACCCAGAAGCTCTCCAATCCCTGTCCTTTAGGATTTTTATGAAAGCTTCTTTATGTAGGCATGATTGACTAAATTATTGGCCACTCATCAGAGATCAAGTCAATCTCCAGCCCCAGAGGGCAGGGGTGAGGCTGAAAGTTTAACCCTCTAATCACGTGGTTAGTTCCCCCGGTAACCAGCCCCCATCCTGGGGCCATTTAGGAGCCCCCAGACACCTGTCATTCATTAGCATACAAAAAGATACTTACCAAGGTGAAGATTCTTAGGGTTTTAGGAGAAGCCTGCCAGGAAATGGAGGTAGAGGCCAAATCTGTTTCTTACATCACACTCTCTGTGGTTTTGCTTCAAAAGGCACACAGGTGAGGCCGGAGCTGAGTACTCTGGACAAAAGAAAGAACAAACCCTGCTCTTGGCTTGGGTCTCCAGTTCACCTTAGATACATGTAGCTACCTAGGGCCATGGCTCCCTTCCTGCAGCAGGTCCTCTCTCTTAAATCCTTGTAAGCACTTAGCGGGGAGGTCAAATGTTCTTCCTTTCATCTAGGCCTCAGTTTAATCGCTGTCAGCTCAAAGTAATCTCCTGAATGGCAGGCACATCTTGGAGAGGCTCGCTCGGAACCCCTACGGAATATACAGCATATGCTTTACCAAACCTGGCCTTTTTTTGCTCAGCGTAATGTTTATGAGATTCATTCATATTGTTACGTGTACCAGTAGTTCATTTTTTTTAGTTGCTAAGGAACGTGTCATATTGTGAACGGGCTACCATTTGCTTTTCCGTTTTCCTGCTGACGGACATTGGAATGGCTTCCAGTTTTCGCCAATTTATATAACACTGAAGTCTTACACATGACAGATTCTTCTCTTTCTCTGGAATGGTATGGATGATTCTAGAAAGCAATCTGGTCCCTCCCTGGCACCTATCATCAGAGGAAAATATCACAACCTACTATGCTGTGGGCAGTTGTATATGATATGTATATCATATACATCCCAGTGAAGCTGGAAAAATAAAATAGAATGCTATAGGGATAAAGAGAGGACATGGTTGCATGAATTATAATCTAGGAAGTGAATGAAAGGTTATGTATACTTTAAAATTACAACTATCGACTACACTGAGAAATAAAAAAATTTCCAAAATATATAAAACGAATGAGAATACAAACTTATAAGCACGCCATAGTACTTCCTGTAAGAATTATCTGGAAGGATAAAGATTTGGCCCACGGTACTGCCTGAGTGCCCACCATGAGCAAGGCTGACCCCCGATGGGGGCTGAGGGGGACATACCTGTGACGAGAGGCAAGCTCCCTATTTCAATAGCAGAGGGTAAAGGCAACACAGAAATAATTCCTGTTTTACGTGTTGGGAGATGAAACAGGTTAATACATTTACTGAAAACAGGCTTGCCTTAATGCCTCCCTTTTTTGGAAATGTCCCTGCTGCCAGGACTGGGTCAGGGCCCTTCTGGACTTCTGTTCTTTCACCCTTGTTACCACACTCAACCGGGGCTGAATCCACGTTTGCCCTGCCCGCACCCCTGCCTGCACTGCTCCCCAACCCTGGCGACTCCACACACTGTGCTAGCCTGAGACTCTCAAGGTGGCTTTCAGCATTTGATGTATGACTGGGTCCCTCAGAAAAAAGAGAGGGAGAGGGAGAGAAACATCAGTTGCCTCTCTCACTTGCCCTAAGTGAGGACCCGGCCCGTAACCCAGGCATGTCCCTGACCGGGAATCCAGCCAGTGACCTTTAGTTTTGCAGGAGGATGGCCAACCAATGGAGCCAAGCTGGCCAGGAAATCCACCTTGGCTTTGAACAGCCATGACGGAATGTTCTGTGTATAACATTTGTCAGGCACTTCCTGATTGTGTCACAGCGGGTTCCCAGGGCCCAGCCTCGGCCCACGGCTCTCTATAAAAGCCACTGCACTCTTCAGCCACCAGTACCACCTAACTCCAGTGCATCTTTGTCTCAGCATGACACTACCTTGGGTCCTCGCAGTCTTGAGCCTTCTTCCTCTGCTGGACGCCCAGAGTCCAACGTGTACCAATTACACGGTGCCTATCACCAATGCCTCCCTGGACCAGGTAGGTACCTGGGCCCCTGAATGCCGTGGGCAGCTGTTGCCCTCTCTGGGCTTCCTTTTCCCCTGCTGGCTTATGGTCAGCCTGTTCTCCTGATTTTGCCCTTTTCTCTGCTGAGTCTTGGGGTGGCAGTCTGGTCAGTCTCCGAAGGCATTCCATTCCACTGCCTCCAAACTTGGAAGCCTCATTGCAAAGTCCCTCAGAGGGGCCATCAGGAGTGGGGTGATGCCTGACTCTTGGAGTGAGCTCCTGCATGTCCCATTCCTTTCTGGAGCCCTCAGTCTCCCAACGTGCAAGATGGAGAGATCGGCCCAAGTCTCCTTCCAGCCTCCATCACCCGCTCTTGGCTTTTTCCCAGATCTCTGGCAAGTGGTTTTACATTGCTTCGGCTTACCATTACCCGGAATATAAGGAGTTGGCTAGCAAGTTCAAGGCATCCTTCTTTTACATGACACCTAACCATTCGGAGGACACAATATGGTTCAGAGAATATTCAACCATGTAAGACCTGCACAGGCCGGCTCAGCCCCAGGCCCAGCCCCAGCTTCTGGCTTCTACTCCTAGCACCCTGGAGACCTTGAGCAAACCTCGCCCTCTTCCTGGCCTCAGCCTTCCCATCCATGGAATGGGGGGGTAGGGGGTCTGACTCCAATTGCCACTTGACTTCTGCCCCTCAGTACTAAGACTGTGTACTTCTCCTTGACTGTCTCACTGTTTATCTCCCCTCTTCTGTCTGGCATTAGTGGGGACAGTTGCATCTATGAGACCGGCCACTTGACGATCTTTCGGAAAAATGGGACCCTGCTTAAATACGGTGAGGCTTCAGGGGAAGGGCTTCTGTGTGGACTGGGGGGTGATGGGCGGAGTGGCCCAAGGGAGGAGATGGGGTCTTTGGACAGAGAGAACACGGGAGAGGCCCACTTCTTACATCTCTGTAGGCCCAGGGCCCGTACACTGAAATAATCAGTAAGAACTGCCAACATTTCTGAGCTCTTTCTATGTGCCAGGCGCGGTTCAAAGTGCTTTTTACATGAGCCAACCCACTTGATACTCATGAACAGCCCTAAAGGGACAGTACAGTGACCTGATGAGGAGATGAACAAACAGAGGTATCAGGGAACTTCTCTGAGGTCATACCACTTACCGTGAGAATTGGGTTCACCCCCCAGGTCAGCTCCAGTCCTGTCCCCCTTTCAACCACTCTCTGTCCTCTGGGAAGTAATGGTGGTGGTCCGTTTGCTGGGCAGGCAGTCACTTCACCCACATCTCCACCATCACTGCAGTGAGGGCACATAGTAGGAACACATGAGTGCCAATGGAATTGAGCCACCACCACCGAGGAGCCCTGAGGCTCCTCTCTGAGCCTCATTTTCCTTATCTGTAAAATGGGCAGAGAGGCCCTGACAGCCACAGTTCACATGAGGCTCCCTGATTCTACATACCTAAGTGTTCGGTGTCAGGCCTGGTGCACGGTCAGAGCAGAAATGTGTGGCCCAGGTAAACCCCGGCCCTCACCAATTGGCTGTACAGCCCTGGGCACAACCCAGTTTCCTCGCCTGTGAGGAGGGGACCATTGTGCTGTCCCCGTAGTCTCACCCAGAGGCTTTCTCTTCCAGAGAATGGCACAAGACACTTTGGCCATCTGATGCTCCCCAAGGACCGCAGGACCTTCATGCTTGCTGCTTTCCCAGAAGATCCGCTGAAAATGGGGCTGTCCTTCTATGGTGAGCATTGCCCAAACTCCCACCCAGGCTTCCCCCAGGACCACCCACTCCTGGTGCTGAGACCCCAGACCCCCAGCTGTCCCTGACCTGTCACCAGACCCCCGACATCCTCACCAGTCTCTTTGCTCCCTCCTGCAGCTGACAAGCCAGAGGTGACCCCGGAGCAAATGGAACAGTTCTATGAGGACCTCAAGTGCAGAGGCATAAAGAAGTCAGAAGTTCTGTACACTGATGAAAAAAAGGTAAATGCAAGGGAGGAGACTGGGTGCTGCTCACGTGAAGGTGCCCCTGCCTTAGGCAGCCCCAGAGGCCCAGAGAGGGAAAGCTACCAGCCAGGGCTGCACAGCAAGGCAGGAGCTCCTGCTTTTAAGGGTCCACCTCACTACAGAGCAGCTGAGCTTCCGAGAGGCCCATGGCAGGAGGGGTGGATGAGAGCCCAGGCAGGACGGGTTCTCGTCCACCGTCCTGGGAGAGAGCCCGGGAGGATGCACGGAGCAGGTGGAGAGGATTGAGAAGGCTGACAGGAGGGGCAGAGCTTGGCCAGGGTGTGGTGGTGGAGCTTGGGAGAGAGACACATGTGGGGAATGAACAGTCGCACCAGCCTGCCACTGCCCAGGCTTCTCGACCGGGGCAGGTGGCGTGGTTCCCAGGGCCGCCTGAACTGCACGCAGCAGGCCCAGGATCTCCGCCGCCCCGATTTTTGCTTTAACTGAGAAGTACCTGAGAAACTACCTTAATACTTCCCTTTAAATCTGTGTCAAGTGAAAGGCTTTACTCGATCTTGTTACGTGCAACCGTATTTGAAATCACAGAGCTGATGAGCTGGGTACACTTTTTGGGATATACATGGCATACTTTCATCATTATTTAAACAAAAATTGTCCCATCTGCTTGCCACCTGAGGTCATCTGCTGGGACCATGAGTGGCACAGATTGTCCCCTTGCTCTTGGGAACCCTGGGAAAGGGCTTATGAACATAGGCACTGGAGTCGGTTCCTGGTCCACAGTCTGTCACCCCATCTACGCGCTGGGGAACCTCAGACAGGCCACATGGCCACTAGGAGCCTCAGCCAACTGCAAAATGGTGGTGAGAAATCTGGATCAACATAAGGGCTTAGCAGGTTGTAAGTGCTCTGTAAATTCCAGCTGTTCTTAAGGGTAGGAGCCCCCATTCTAGAGGTGAATAAACTGAGGCTCACCGAAGGAAATGACTTGCCCAAAGTCACCCAGCTTGAAGTGGCAGAGAGCGAGTGGGCTGGCGCCATGGTTGGACTGGTGCCACAGTCCAGAGTGGACCCTCCCCTCCCCTCAGGAGCCCAGTCCCCTCCCCCCTCACGGTGTTTGTTCTCTTCCCACTGCCTGGTAGGATCTGTGTAAGCCTCTGGAGAGACAGCATGAGGAGGAAAGGAAGAAGGAAGACAAGAGGGCCAAGACAGACACAGCTTTGGATTAGGACCTCGGGAACTTTGGGGGTCCGTCCCGAGTCCCCCACCCACCCTTTGTACCTCAGTTCTTCCCCTTCGTGGCATCAGTAAAGCTTCTGCATTTGGAATAAGTCCATTGTCATATATGCTCATTCATTCATTCTCATTCATTCACGTTGAGGCCAGCCATGAGTTGAGCCTGGTTGTTCACTAGGTAAGACCTTGCTGGCCCCCGATTGGAAAAGCCCCCACTGTAATTCCCAGCACGTGTGTCTGGATGGACGCTATATGGTGTGGGAGACGAGCACGAGAAGGTTCCTTCTGCAGCGGGGACACGTGCGAAGGTCTCCTGGAGGGGGCGTCTGAACCAGCCTAGGAAGGTTAGAAGCTTGGAAACACCTGCTGTTCCTGCCACAAGCCAACGACCTGAGAGGGCACATTCGAAGAACATCGAGGCAGAGGACCCAAAGGCAGGCTCAGGTGATGAAGAGGCAGTGAGGACTCGGGCATGTGTTGCCAGGCACAAAGGACCTCACTGCAGACCTCATCTGGCCATCTGCAGAGGAGAGTTGGGAGGGGCCTGATTGGAGGCAGGAAGACCCGCTTGGACGCCACTGAACCTGATTAAGAGGTGGAGGCCTGGGCCAGGGCAAAGGCAGAACAGGAGAGACCTAGGGACCGAGGTCAGAGGGGCTGAGTGTCTCCGTGAAGTGTCTTCACGGCAGCCTCTTGACACCCAACACCCGTAAGGAGGATATGACACCTAGGAGCCAAGTTTGCCTCCAGAAACCAGCCCTCTTGCAAATAAATGTGCCTTGAACCCTGGAGATGGGGCCACATGGGAGGCAGACCCACGCAGTGAAATAGAAAATGGAGCCCCAGGGGCCAGGAGGCCAGCAGGAAAAACCCGGCCTTCTTCCAGGCCCGAGGGCTTCATAATTTATGGGCACGTGAGGGGCGGAGCACCACGGGCTGAGCTGCTCGGAAAATTTGATGGGGGGGAGGGGCCGAGCCACCTAGAGCCACAGGTGGAATTAACAGGCCTGTTACCCTGCAGTCTGATGCTCAGCCCTGAGGCTCACACGCTGACACCCTCCAAAGAGCCAGGCTCCAGGGACCCAAGTCTTCAGCTTTCTTTGCTCAAAGCTGGAGCCACTGCCCTGGGCCTCCGCCTTGGTCTCCCCCCACCCATCCTGAGGTCCATGGGATGCCTCTTGGCACCCGGAGGAGTGTGGACCCAGAGACTCAGAACCTCCAAGGAATCTCCTCTCCACCCTCAGTGTCACTTTCTACGACATCCCACTTTCAACTCTACCGAGGGGCAGCTCGAAAACTAAAACAGAAATGGGCCCTGGTGATGGGGTGAAGCAAGGGAGGTGAGAGGGGTGGGGAAGGTTGGCTGACGGCTAAAGGGACCTTGAGAATCCCATTTATGCCCGAGCCGTGACCTTTACTGTAAGAATGCAATATAGGCGTGCTGTCTCCTGGGGAGAACTGGCCCATTTTCCCAGAGGGACCTGTTAGTTACCTAAGTTTGACACAAAGCCCTTGGTGCGTAGCCAGTTTTGCCTAAAACATATTTAAGCATAGCCCCCAAAGTGGGGCTTTGGAATCTCACCCAAGGGAAGGACGCTTCGCTCGGAGCTTTCCCAGCCAGACCTGAACGCTGTCTCCAGGATTCCCCAGGATCTGTGTTTGGGTGTTGGTGAACTCCCGTCTGGTGATGTATGCTTTGATTCTTGCTTTTTCTCTTTGCTCTCGCTGAATAAAGTGCTTAACTATTTACCTTTGACTTGGGTTTTTTACTGTCTGTGAATCCGAACCTCCAAATTAAGTGGCCATGAGTGCCCTTTAACTGCACACTGGCAAAAAAGCCACAGGAACAGGTGGGGGTTGGAGATAATCGTGGAGGTTTAGGAAGAGAAAATCGGTATCGACTACAAACTTGGGAGTCAGACCACTGTGAATCTGGGTAGGTGACCCCCAGGAACCACATCAGTAAAGTGGGGGACACAGTGGGAACCCGAAAGGCCGGTATGTGTACCGGGGAGCCCGCCACGCTGAGCACTGAGCTCAAGGACCGGCGTCCTGTAGGGGCTCAGCAAGGAACAGCTGCCGCCGTTTGCTGCTAAAAGGAGCCCTGGCAAGAGTCCAGTCTTGTGTTTTTCAGCCACCAGGTTTCTGCGTCTCCGGCCTCAATAACGAGGGGCTTGGCCAAATGGCCTCTCCGTGCAGGTCCGTCCAGCCGAGAGGTTTATGGTTCAGAGACAGGCAGAGGGGACAAGGTGGAGGAACAGAAGCCACCAGGAGGCAGGAAGAGTCTGGGGCTGTGCACCCAACAGGTCCCCTAGGGGAAGGCGCTGCGTCCACCCCACACCCCACCAAAAGGACTTTAGAAACCACAAGTCAGTGAGACACATCAGCGACAGGCAGTTTAGGGATGTTTTTTGGGTTTTTTTGCCTTTTTTTTTTTAAAGATCAATATTCAGCCTTCTTCATTTGTCCTCATAACGAAAATAGAATTTTTAAATGCCTCGAATATACAAATATCACTGGTGCACACACATTCCGGAAAAGCTGAGGTACGTGCCGCTACAGGGTTGGGGAGCAGAAGACAGCCTGACCCCAGGCCACAGAGAACCCCAGGAGCGAGCAGGGGTCTGCAGATGAGGTACTGAGAGGGGCCGCGGTGGACAGATAGCTTCCTGGGGCGTCTCCGTCCCCGCAGGCCCACAGGAAAGACGGACCCAAACGCAGGGAAGCTGGGAGTGAGTCATCCTGGGCACCGGCGCCCCACGATATCCCGATGGACCCAGTGTCCCACCATCAGCCACCAGGGGAAAGGTCCCCAGCCACATCTTTCCAGAGACGCCTGTTCCCAAGTGTGGGTCACAGGCAGGTGGGCAGGTTTGTGCCGGAGACCCCAGCCCCACCCCTTTTTATAGGCATCCCAGGGAGGATTCACACCCAGGAAAACTCCTCCCTTAAAAAACTATCTGTCCTTCCACATACAAAACACATATTATTAGCTGGAGGTGGACAAGTGCAGGAGACTTTCAGAGACTGCATCTGGACAGAAGGTGGCCTTGGTCCCAGTACTTGCTTCTGGGGACGGTGCCCTGGGAAGTTACTTCTCTTGATGACCAAGGCCCTTCCACTGGAAAACACTGAGATGGCGCAGGCAGGGCCTGTGCTGGAGGGAGAGCTCCTCGTAAGCGGTCTGCAGGGGAGACGGCAGCAGGCTAGCTGCCTGCCCGCCTGTCCGCCGTCTGTCTCTGAGCCCCGAGTGCCATCAGAAGAGGCAGGAGCCCCGCAGGCTGTGGGCCTGGCGCAGGTCGGCCGACAGGGAGCGGCTCATGTGCTTGGCGGTGGAGCGGACCCGCTCGGCCGCCTGGACGGCTCGGCTCAGGGCCCTGTTGAGCTCCTCCAGGTCCTCCAGATCCAGCGGGATGGAGTGCCGGTGTCCTCCGGCTGGCCGAGAGGAGGCTGCGGCGGGCCACTCAGCAGCTAGTCGGGCTGAGGGGGCTGAGGTAGGTCCTCCTGGAGGCGTGTAGAACCTGAGGAGACAGGTGAGCGCACCGTTAACCAGAGAGGATGGGGTGCAGCCGAGGAGCGCCGGGTTGGTCACCTACGTCGTTCTGAGCCCCGGTGAGGCCTCTGGCCCCCGTTCTCTGGGTCTCGGCTTCTTCACCTCTATGAGAACAATGAACACCTACCTGGAGGAATGCCTTAGAAGGACGAAGGAAGATTAATGGGGTGCCTGACCCAGAACAGGGGCTCAAAAATGGTTGGTTCAGACCCTGGCTGGTGTAGCTCAGTGGATCGAGCGTGGGTCCTGCGAACCACACGATCGCAGTTCGATTCCCAGTCGGGGCACATGCCTGGGTTGCGGGCTGGTTCCCTGCAGGCCAGTTCCCAGCAGGGGACGCACAAAAGGCAACCACACAGTGATGTTTCTCTCCCTCTCTCCTTCCCCTTTCCCCTCTAAAGATAAATAAATAAAATCTTTAAAAAAAATGGTTGCTTCAGCTACCCATTCGTTTCACAAATACTTCTTGACCAAGTGCTGTATGCTAGGCCCCGGGGTCACAGTGGTACATGAACACCGACCCTGCCTCCTTGGAGCTTCGAGCCTGAGAGCCAGGGGTGGGGCTTACCAGGATCGCCCTGGGCTCTATAGCAAACCCCGTTGTTCTTCAGAGAGGTAATACGGGGGAGTCCCATCGCCAGTGCCGAATGCTGGAGAAATAGACATCTCACCAAACAGATGGCCAACAAGCACCTGTGAAAGTGCTCAACTTCAACAGCCCTCAGGGAGATGCAAATCAAAGCCACACAAGATGCTGCTTCACGAATCTCACATCTGTGGGGATGGCTAAAGTCACAAGGGCGGTCATGAGTGTTGGCGAGGATGTGCAGAGGCTGGAACGCACACACTCTGCTGTAAAATGATGCAGGCCCTTCGGAAACTGGCTGGCAGTTCCCCAGTCAGGAACACAGAGTGCCTTGCCCAGAGCCCGGATCCTCACCCTCCGAACCCATGGGCCAGGCTCTGAGGGAGGTGCTTTACTAGCGCTATGTCACTTATCGGGTCCATTCTATTATGCTTACTTCACCAACGAGCAGCGTGAAGCTCAGAGAAGCGGGGTGATGCAGGAGGTGGCCCCAAATCTCGGTCAGTCCACTTGTCCAGCCACCGAGCCCTGCCCGGACTGCTTCACCTTTTAAGGGCTCCATTTCCTCACCTAAGACCACCTCCCAGGGTAGATCCAACAGGAAAATTCAGGTGAAAACCTCTGTCAGCTGCCTGGACACGTTAAGTGTTCTGTAAGCGTCAGCGACAGAGGCCCAGGGTTGGAGAGCCGGGAAGGGTCAGTGCTGAATTCACATTCAGAGCCAAGATGCTGATATAGATCACCTGAACCTAATGAACAATAACCAATTCTGCCCTTTGGGGTGTATCCAATGTAATCACTGGGTTCCCACATACCCCTACTTTCTGATAATTTGATGACCAGGTTGGCTGAGAGTTACCCAAAACTTCCCCAGGGCAGAAGCTGCAAAAACAAAACCTGACCCACCCTCCTGGCAAGAAAGCCTCTGGTGCAGGAACTATGAGGCAGCAAACCACCAGGTGGCAGCACAGGCCCAGGCAGCTTTCAAAGGGTGCTCAGGCCTCAGCCTCTGAGGACGCCCAGCCTTGCAGCAAGAGAAATTTTAGGCCATCATCAGCTCAGGTTCCAGCAGCATTAGAAACACGGTGGTTGCTGGCCACCCTGTGTGCGGTACGGACTGTCCATTCATTAGTTCATTTAATCCCTTTCACAGAGGAAAAAGTAACCGGCCCAAGATTGCATGACTAATACTGGCCAGGTCTGTGGGGGCACTTAAGTCTAGGGCCTCTCTCCTGGCCCATGGCCCATCCAAGCCTGGGGGACAGGAACCTGGTTAGTTCTGTCCACAGGTCTGAGCTTGCAAGGGTATGGCATGGCCGCAGAAATAGAGGCCCTGTGGTTACAGTGGGCACTCAAAGTTTATCCTGGGCCAGCAAATTCCAGGTGAAACCTTCCCTGTCCAATGAGTTGGAGCACAGACAGGTGTCCCCACCACCTCTGCTGGAGGCCTGAGCACTCGGTGTGGCACACACAGTGATACACCAGGGGAAAGCCAAGGGAGCACACGATGCCTGGGTTCCCGGCTGCCTGAGACAGGCCCGAATGCCGACTATGAGGCACTTCACATGGAGAGGCTGGGAGCATGAAAATGAAAGGTTCTTACACAGTGGCTGGTGGGTAAGGCATGACGGGAACCGAGGAGACGTAGGCAAAAGCAGGAGGGGCTGGTACGGAAGGCGCCGCAGCCAGGTACCACAGTCCAGGGGGCGGCCGGGGCAGTGAGCCCGCTCGTCTGCTCCTCAGCTTGGGGTTGGACGTTGAAGGTGCACTCCTTGTGGCGGACTTTTCTGCCCCTGTCACAGAAGGACGCCAGAGAGACAGTCTGACCATCGGGAAGATCAGGAGGAAAAGAGAGGGTCCCACCCAGGCCCTGCCCTGTTAGAGCTGGATGCTGGGCTGGCCATGCTGGGAGTACCCGGATTTGGGGCACAAACCCTCTGTCCAGCGTGCTCCAGCCCTGGCTGGTAGGAGAAGCTGCCCTGCCAACCGAACCCAGGCCGCAACCCCTGTCAAGGAGAGCTGAGGGAAGAGACTGAGGATCTGCCCTTACCAGAGGTGGCTGCGTCTGGGCCTTCCCCCTCCAGGGTGGACCCAAATCCACCACACAGGGGACATCGCAGGGCATCAGTGGGAGACGGTCCCCGTGGGTTGCTGGTGATAGCACCTGGAAGACGAGAAAGGAGAGGATTCTATCTGAATCATCAGGCCTGGAGTCTCCCGAGCACACCTCCTGAAGTACTGAGCTTCCCTCAGGAGCCATGCAGAAAGGACAAATTACCTCCCTCTGGGTGACAATACCCATGGCGACTGTGATAGTGAGAATCCATATTTTATGAGCCAGGCCCTCTGCTCAAGGCCTTCAGGCATTATTTTATCAAATCCCACAAGCCACTGGCTAGCTACTCCACCACTCCCCCACTTTACAGGTGGGAAAGCTGAGGCTCCAAGAGGTTGAATAGTTTGCCAAGGTCTCGGGGGCTGGGAAGCGGTGCTCCTCTGTCTGATGCCAAGCCCAGTGAGACAGGCCCATTCTCCATGTGGGAGCATCTCCTGACAATCCCGGGCACCAGAGGGTTCAGGGGAGGCCTAAAAGTGCCCAGGAAGCAGGAGGAGAGTAGGCAGCCTTGTTCTCTCCAGTGCAAGTCCTCTAAGTTCCAGGGCCAGTGCACTCGTCCTTCAGGCCTCAGCTCAGCCATCACACCCTCTGGGAGACCCACCCGCACACCAGGCTGAGGACGCGCTCCCCAGCCCCATTCTGTGCTCCCCCCTCCCAGGTCTGACGGACCCGCTGGGTCACTGTCTGCTTAGCTGAGAGTTTCTTGGGAAAAGGGCCCGGGGCCCAGTGCGGGAAGGTATGGGAACAAATGAATGGACGATGGAAAGACTATTGGAACTCCAGCCAAGGCAGAGGGACATGGTGAAGTGCCAGGGCTCTGGAGTCACAGGTCTGGGTTCAAATGGTGACTCCACCACTTGTAACCTCTATGTCCTTGGACGAGTTACATGACCTCTTCGCGTATAGCTTCCTCACTCATACAATGGGAGTAAGAATAAAAGTGACAAAATCTACTTCCTAGAAGTGGGAGGATTAGTGTTTGTTAAAACCCTTAGTGTGATGCCCTACATACAGTAGGGGCTTAACAAATGACAGCTTCATCAGTATCATCATCATTGCTTGAAGGGACCCCGGAGCCCATCTTCTACCCTTTCATTATGGATGTGGAACCTGAGGCTCAGACAAGTTAAGGGACTTGTTTAAGGTCACACAGCAAGTCAGTGGCAGATCTGGGACTTGCAACAGCCGTCCACATTCTCAGGCCACCGCTCTCCCACTACTCTTCCCCGTTGGGCTTGGGAGAAAGGATGGGGAGTGGAGGGAGGATGGAGGGGAGAGAAGATGCAGTCATTGCTGCCCGCCCCACTGCTGCCTGGCACCCTCCTACTCGGACCCTTCACGAACGTCTTAAATCATGTCCATGGCTTCTCCATGTCAAGGTCAAGGAGGGAGGCTTTAGGCGGCAGCACCTGGGGCAACAGGTGTGAAGACAGGACACCCTGGGGGGCCTGAGAATCCCAGAAAAATCTGGTTCCCTTGTCTGTGCCTTGGACCTGCCTCCCAGCTCAGGGCAGGCCCATGTCTGGCCCCACGGGCCCCTCCCCGGAGAGAGGAAGCTGCAGCCTCACTGCCGTGGCCGCCTCCATTCCTTACCTGTGTCCTGGGTCCTAACAGGCTGGCAGTGGGGACAGGAGACTGTGCTACTGCTTCTTGGGACAATCTTAGGGGTCAGAACATGGTATTCCTGGCCTGGGGATGAACACAGAAATTTCAATGTCAGCTCCCTACATGGCTGCAGAATTGAGGGGGACTTCGTATCACGACCTCTCTCCTCTCGCTCCAAATGGTTTGAACAGGCGCTCTCTTGTAGCGTGCACTCACGCACAATATGTATATGCGTAAATACGTGTCTATGAATATACGTGTGTATGTACGTATATACATGTACATACAGATACACTGATCTTTCTGTTTACGGAGAGCTCTCTCAGATGCCCACTTCATGTCAGGTCCTACTGGGGTACTACCTGCTCAGTTCCCCACCTACAGAAGCAATCAACACGCCCCGGCTGGCTGGTTGGGATGGGAATGGCATGTGCAAGGGGGCCCAGCAGCTCAGGAGTGGGTGCACCTCATTCCAGGTCCACCCCGTAGTCACAACGGCTTCCACATGGTTGCTGGGAGAAGCGCACGGGGCCGTAGGCATGGGGTAGGCTGCCGAGCGCCTGGCAGATAGAGAGCACTCAGTGTTGTCAGAAAGTTGGTCAGACCCTCAGACCCTTACCCCATCCCCAGCCTGGTGCGTCCCTGAGTCTTAACTAAGATCTGCATGTCACCTGACGACTGGTCATTTCTCTCCCCTCTGCCATTACAGGGTTCCCATTTTATACGCCGTGTGTTGCTCTGGGGTCCCCTGGACTCACTGTTGTTCTCACTTCTAACTCCTTGGCCTCCATCTACCCCACGGGGGCAGGGCAAGTGCCTCCTGTCTTCTGCCTTGTCCCCAGGGCTCAGCTGTACGGATCTGAGGTTAACCACTGTCCCTCCCGGTAAGGGGTGGGTGAAGGCCATGTCTATAATTCACTTACTATGATAATTTACACATTTATTGTTAACGATGATTTGTTATGTCTTCTCTAGATAGTCAGATTCACGAAAGTAGGAGCCCTCTCCATATTTGCTTTAATGTTAAGCACTTTAAAATCCTACTAAGTGTCACCTCAAGCTTCATTATGTGCTGGGTGCCTGGTTCCTAAGACAGAGGGGCCCCCTGGGGAATCAGACTTGAAGGTCGGGCAGGAGTAAATGATTCTGCGTTTGTCCTGTAGCCCAGGTCCAGCAAACAGCAGCTGCCTCATAAACCTCGTTCTGATTGACCAGCTGAATGTGCTGAACCAAGCATGGGCCCTGGCAGTGGGGAGGCATGAAAAACCATTTGCTGAATGAACAGAAGTACCAAGATTCACAGAGGCCACGCTCCCTGAAGTTTTCCACATCCCAGAACTCGAAGAAATGATACTGTTCGAATGGCTGAATGGCAGAGGCTTCTCACAATAGAGAAGACCACCTCGGGGACAGCACCCATCCCATCCCAGCCCTCCCTCCTGGCCCACCTGTATACTGGCCCCGGAAGGTGACCCTGTCTGGCCGACTGGTACTGCGAATTCCTCTCATTTTGTCCCGAGCTGCCTCTGGGCTGTCCCTGGTGGTCCTGCCCTTCTCAGAGGACAGCCGCGGGGAGGCTGGCTCAGATTCAGGACCTAGGGTGGAAAGAGAGGGGCATCGGAGCGGGCAGACAGGTGGGTCATCCAGCTCGGGGAGTGAGTGTATCTAATCCCAGATCCACCCCTTTGTGGAAAGAGCCCGCACACCCGGACCCCCGCCTTTGTGCTCAGCACTGGTCTAGACACACGGCTGGCGCCATGCTGTGCACCCCACGGCAATCCTGGGAGGCAGGAACTATCTTTCCTATACTGTTAACTGTCCCTTTGACTGCACGGGACAGGTGGACCACCTGGCCACTGGCTCCCGAGCTGTGTTACTTTAAGCAAGTTCCCTGCACTTCTGGGCTTGGGTCTCCTTATACGGCAGAACGTGGATATTATGGCCCGTCTTGCAGTGAAGATTAAGTGGGGTGATCTACAGGGTCCGGCACAAATAATGCCTCTTTTTTATTACAAAATCACAAGCATGTAATTCTGTAGCATAACAATATCACACTCAAGCACACCCTATGACATTTTAGGGGAAGTGTTCGAATTAAAACTATGAATTATTCCTCCCACACGCAGGCCTGACTTCTGCCGGCCCTGTGTATATCTTACAGTCGCACAAAAGCCTTCTTCAAGTTTTTTCTAAGCCCGTTGCCGCGGTCCCTCACCACTGAACCAACGAGCCCAGATGGTGGCCTCCAGAAACCAGTTTTGGCAGATGGTCACTTACTCCAGGACAGTCGGGGCAGCTCCCGAGGCACCGAGGAGGACCTGGCTCGCCGCCTTCCTGTGGGGACAGCTTGCTCAGCACCTCCAGGCTCACTGGACAGTCTCTCTGTGGATTTACTAGCAAAAGAGGGAGAGCTGATGTCACTAGGTGAGGTTTTATGCAGTCTTAATGTTTTTTAAAAATATGTTTACTGATTTGAGCCCTGGCTGGTGTAGCTCAGTGGATTGAGCACAGGCTGCGAACCAAAGGGTTGCCAGTTCAATTCCGGGTCAGGGCACATGCCTGGGTTGCGGGCCAGGTCCCGAGTGACGGCCACATGAGAGACAACCACACATCAATGTTTCTCTCCCTCTCTTTCTCCCTCCCTTCCCCTCTCTCTAAAAACAAACAAATAAATAAAATCTTTTAAAAAATCTTTACTGATTTGAGAGAGAGTCCTTCTCTCTAGAAACATTCGATGTGAGAGAAAAACATTAATTGCTTGCCTCCCATATGTGCTGTGACCAGGAATCAAACCTGCAACCTTGGTACATGCCCTACATGTCCTAACTGGGGACAGAACCTGCAACCTACGCATGTGCCCGGACTGGGAATCCAACCCCCAACTTTTCAGTGTTCAGGATGACACTCCAACCAACAGCGCCATCTGGCCAGGGCAGGTTTTATGCAGCCTTCAAAGATGATCAGTGAGGGGCCAGCCCAGAGAAATACTTTTAATGGGAAGAGGAGAGCAAGGAAGTCCAAACTAAAGACCCTGGGGTCAGAATCACAGGCAATGGATCTGGGCCTCTCTGACCCTCGGTTTGCTCATCTGTCAAATGGGGATAATAAGAGCAATTACTTCAGAGCGTTGTTGGAAGGATCAGTGAGACAATGTCCCCAGAACCCTTAACCTAGCGCCCTCCCAGACATCCATCCCTAGTCCACTGATCTTGTTATCATCCTGGAGGGACATCCGCTGGGCGAGTGGGGGGAAGGGTGAGAGTCCCGAAGATACTGTAGCTCTTCGGTTGGGTGGTGAGGTCCGGGGTATTCATTGTATCAGACTCTATTATTAACACACATGTTTATGATATTTTCATGCACCAAATATAACACAGTAAAAAAGAAGTAAGAGTGAATGAACGGTTAAATGCATGAGGGAGGGAGGGGCTGTGCCACGTCCACACATCTGGAAGAAGCCAGAGGCCGTCCACGTCTGCCTCCTGTGGCTGCCCCCAGGGCACAAGGGTGGGAGTTTGGGGCCACCCACCTGCCATAGTGAGAGCCCCAGGCGGCCGGGGAATCTGCTGGCCAGTCCCGGGCCCGGGCAGGGCGGTCGTATGTGGACGCGGGCTGTGTGGGGCTGTCCTGAGGTGGCTGGTGCAGGCTGTCCTCCAGCCGGAGCTGGAGCCGGGACACCTCCTGCTGTAGCTCGCGGATGGCCTGGCTGGGGTGGGGTGGGGACGGAAACAAGGAGCAGACGCACATGAACGGAGCTGCAGCCACCCCCAGAGCTCTGCCCCAGGGCGCAGCCTTCGTCCCCTGCTAGGAGGCACTTCATTCTAAACCGTTCCTATGTGTCCACAGTTCCTGCTCTTCATCTTGAACCTCTCTGACTTTGCGTCCCGGCGCTTTCAGCGCACAAAGCATAACTCCCTCCGAGGCTCATCTGTCCTACCATGCCCGGCCTCTGAGTTGCTTTTCGGAGCCACGAGTGACCAATCTTTAAGACAGAGACAAGGGTACAGAATACAGAGGGTGTTGGCTGAAGTTTCCCTTTAAAATCCGAATTCTGACCTTCCTTGGCTCCTGGGCTGCCCCCCTTCTTCTACCTCTGTCTATAGAAATCCTAACTATCCTTTCAGCCACCCTTCCCTCCTCGGTTCCCCCAAATGCTTCCTATTGTTCAAGCCCCTCTCTCTGCTCCTGGCAGGAGATGCTCACATACGTGCCTCTCCGGCCAGACAGCGAGCCACTGGCAGGCAAGGGAGCAGGCCTCCCCAACACATGACCCCCGAGACCCCCGCACCTCCCAGATGCTCTGGGATCGTGACCGAACAAACAGGACTCCAGGCTTCAAGAGGGAGCAGAGTAAGGGGCTGCCGGAATCCCCGTGAACCCCAAACACAATGCAACCCCTTATTGGAAGTTATCTCAGTGAGCTACTAGCATCTAGGGAGGGAATACTATCTGCATTTCTCTCCAACCACATTTCTCTCTAGCCTCATTCTGAAGGTGTCGCTGGCACTGTGGCAGATAATCCCACCTGGACAATCCCCCCCACCCCAACCCCAACAGAGAGTCAGAGTCTGCTTCGGCACTGCTGTCCCCTGGGCTGATGCGGGCTCTCCATGTGCTTGCTGTTGGGGGCCAGCTTCGGAGTGGGGGGCCCCCCTCAGGGTTAGCTCTTGCCTGGTGACCCCTGGACTTGTCAGTGAGTGTCCCCTGGCATCCCCTCCAGCAATCATCAGCTCTCAGATGAGTCCACAAGAGGGACTGGGAGGCCTCTCTCTAGCTGCGCCCCAGTGCGGAGCGTGTCCAAGGGCAGTCAGTTCCCCTGGCAATCCCCAAGGAGACGCTTGTTGAGGTTTCCAAGGCAAACTGTGAGGGCGGCGATCTCGATCTCGAGAGCCAGAGCTCTGCCACCAGTTAACCCCTGGAGGGCAGGGCCCGGGCAGCTCTGGCTTCCTGACCCAGGCCAAAGGCCACTGAATGAGGGCCTGGGACTTGGAACGCCCGCCTGGGTGTCACTGTCTCTGGCTTCTTCTTTTAAAATCAGAATCTGAATTTTCCTGACTTAATTCTTTAGGGACTGAGCTGGCACTTAAAATTCATCTTTCCCTGCAAACTTACTCCCCCTGCTGGGCTCCCACCCCCATGTCAGCCTCCGACTGTATGGCCAGCCCCAAATCGGACATTCTAGACCCTTCTCCTTTCCTGAACACACCTGAAGTGAACCCAGTACCAAGTCCTGTGGGCCCAACGCCTAGACATGTCTTCTCAGAGGCACCCCCTTCCCTCCCACGGCCCCTCCCTCCTGGCCCGGCCTCCCTCGTCACCCTTGTGGCAGCCAGAACTCCTTCTAAAATGTAAGCCTCACCCCACATTCCTCTGCTTAAAATCCCCCTTACTGTCTCCGGTGAGTCTTTTTTTTTAATCCTCACCTCAGGACATGCTTATTGAGTTTAGAGAGAAGGGAAGGGAGGGAGGCAGAGGGAGGACATCAGTGCAACACAAACACTGACCAGCTGCCTCTCGTACTTGTTCACGTCCTGACCGGGGACCGAACATGCGACCTTTCGGTTTACCGGGCGACACCCAGCTGGCTGTAGAAATGGCTGGCTAATGGGGCCACACCGGCCAGGGCTCGAGTCTTTATTCATTCACACATATTCAGTGAACACCTCTGAGCCGAGCCCCCATCCAAACCTCTAACCACAGCATTGAGGCCCTCCAAGGTCCCCCCATCAAACTCTCTCTGCCTTTACTGCTCAACACCCATCACCTCGCACCCAAGAATCTGGACAGAATGAACGTTTGACTCCTCCAAGCTGATGGTACCTCTCATCTCGAGTGCTTTGCACATGCTGTTCCCTCTGCTCGAGACACTCTTTCATGCCTCTTCCTCTGGTTCAGCTGAGACACCACTTCCCCCAGGAAGCCCTCCCTGAAGCCTCTGATTGAGCTAATGTCCCTTCCCTGTGTTTCAACAGTCCCTTGAGTCTCTCCATCCCTGTACTTATCACACTTAGGGTGTGACCACATGTTTCCTCGTCCTACAAGAGGACAGAGGGGTGTCCTCATGAGCCTTATGAGGCTGAGGACAGTGTCTTGTCCACTGTTGTATTCCCAAGGCCTGGCATATCACAGGCAAATAAGCCTCTAAGTCCTAGGCTGATGTCAGGGAGACTGCGGAGTACACCTGCTAAACTCGGACCTGCGGCCAGACCGACTTTACACAGAGACCACATGCCAGGCGGCCCCATGACCACAGAGCCGCAGAGGCCTCTGACGGTCACTGCACAGCAGTCTCCCCAGGGCACCCTGCGGTTCTGAAACAGACACCCCAACCCCACAAAAGGGGTGTGTGATTGGTCCTCGGCCAAAAGCAACTCAGAGGAGAGGTAAGAGGGTTGGCCAACCTATTTCCCCATTTCTGTTCAACCATGCCAGGAACAACTTTCTTAGTAGAGAAGTTGTGCTGGATGGAAGTGACGAAAACTGAAAAGCAGCCTCTTCTCAGTTCATACGAGAACACGCAACTGCAGAAAATCTATCCCTGGTGAGCTCCCCTTCCCGCCTGGGAAGGGAAATGCTGGGGACAGGAAGAGGGGTTTCAGCCCCAGAAAGGCGAACCTCTAGCTCATTTCCCACTGTCTGGAGACGTGTCCTCCAAGTCTGGATCCACGAGGTCCCGCAGAAACAGCCAGAAAGGCGGGACGCCTGCCTCCGCCGGGCCCAGCACAGCCACCACTGGCCGTGAAGGCTGAGCCAGCCCCTACCTCCCTTGAGCCTCACTCTCTCGTCTCTATGACAACCAGGCATCTGACTTACTCTCGCCCTGTCCTGGTGAGGAGGGCCGGGGTGGTCTCGGTTGGTCCACGGGGCAGAGCAGCAGCTGCAGGGGCCGGGGTGGAGGGTGGGCTGACTCTCGTGCTGGGGTGGAGCTGTTCAGAAATCCGCTTTCGCCCCTCCAACTGTGAGCCAGGCACCGCTAGGGAGGCAGAACGAGCCCAAAGTGAGCTGATGTGGAGAAGACGCTCAGCAGTGTGCAAACTTGTAAGGGTGGAAGATTGCGGGGGATAGGGGTGAAGAGGTCACAGATGAAGCTCCTGATGAGGCAGTGACCCACTAACCTCAAAACCAGGAGACGTGGTTTTCGCTGGGAGCCTGGGGTGCTGTGCTGGGCCTGCTGAGCTGTTTCTAATTACAATGCCCCTCCCAGTCCACTCTTCTGGCACCGGATCCGAATCTCCGGGACCCTCCCCCTACAAAGGGCTCCCTGTGCTTCACGTGAGTCCCCCAGACTCTGTCACATAGCTCACCGTGCTGTCCTGCGATTAGCTTTGGAGCCTCCACCTCTCCCTGAAATTAGTCACACCTTTGCCTGACAGCATGTTTTGGGGGAGAGCATTCATGACTCCGGTCTCCCAAAGGGATCGGCAACCGGAGGTTAAGACCATTAATCTGGCCTGTGCATTAAAAACAATGAGCCCGCCCTGGCTGGTGCAGCTCAATGGACTGAGTGCTGGCCAGTGAACCAAAGGGTTGCCGGTTCAATTCCCAGTCGTGGCACATGCCTGGGTTGCGGGCCATGTCCCCAGTAGGGGGTGTGCAAGGGGCAACCACATATTGATGTTTTTCTCCTCTCTCTAAAAATAAAAAAAAAACTTAAACAAACAATGAGCCCTCGGAATACTACTGAGTGATAGATGAAGAAAAAACCCACAAATACATGGAACAATCTAGAAAAATCTCCAGAGAATTAGGCTGAGTGAAAAAGCCAATCCCAAAAGGTTATAAATTATATGATACCATTTATACAAATAACCTTCTAGAAATGGCAAAATTATAGACATGGGGAAGAGAGTAGCAGTTTCCGGGAGCTAACGAGAGGGTGGAGGCAGGAGGGAAGGGGGTGTGTCTCTAGCGGGGCCACACGAGGGTCCTGTGCTGTGGAGGGACCCGGACCGGGTCCCCGACAGTGTCTGGTTGGCACCGCACCGTGATTCCACACGACGTGATCACTGGGGGAAGCTGCGTGAATGGCACACAGGATCTCGGTGTGTTATTTCTTACAACTGCCTGTGAACCTACCAGTAATTAATAAAACTTTCAATTAAAGTTTAATTTTAAAAAATGTAAGTGATGAACCTTAAAAGGAGGCAAAGCTAATCTGAGGGGTCAGAAGTCAGAGCCACGGTTACCTTTGGGGGCGGGCGGGGGCAAGAGAAGGGGCTCGAGGGGACTGTGGCGCTCTGAGCATGTCGCGTTTTCTGCGTCTGTGTTCACTTTGAGAAGGTTCATCAATTTATGGTCTTTCCTGTACGTTTTATTTCAACAGAAAGCTCACACGCATTTTTAAAAGTAAAAAAATAAATTACAGATAGTTTTTATAGACACGGAATGTGTTCAAAATACAATGTGTAGTGAAAAAAAGGTTATCGAATGTTAACGTACCCTATTTCTGTTTTAAGTGTATGTAAATCCACACACACACACACACACACACACACACAGCACAGAAGGCGTCTCACAGGCTCTGCTCCAAGACGTCCGCAGTGACAGTTTGCAGCACATTTTTTTCTTTTGTTCCCTTTTGCCTGCCCTAGCTAATTTCAAATTTTCCTACGGTGAACCTGTATGATATTCTGTATCCTGAAGGGTAATGCAAGTTTGGGGTTGGTTTGATTTTCTAATCCAGGCAACCCGGGCACCCCCAGGTCCTGGCCGACCCAGGTGCACCCACTCACCCACGTCGGCTGCCATCCCCGGCTCCAGGCGGAAGCTGGGTGCCCTCTGCCGGAGAGGACTGTCCTGCGTGAAGGGGTGTCTCTGGGTTCGGCTCCTGGGTGTTCTTGGCTCAGTGGCTCTTCTGGGGACAGGAAGATCCCTGGCCCGGGGGTGGGAGGCTGCATCCCGGGGCACAGAAGCAGTGAAGGGCTGGGCTAGTGTCCCTGGGGTTCTGGTGGGTCACAGAGAGAGGGACACTATGAGGTCACACAGAGCAAGGCCACAGCCTCCGAGCCCCCACACCCTGAACCAGTGACCTCCTGCTTACAGGACTGTGTACCCAGGATAGGAGTCTTTCTGAGGAGGCGCCCCGTTACACACGCATTTCCTTACAAACTACAGTTTCACATCTGTCCACCAACGGAGGCAAAATTATAAAGCTCAAATGGGCTCTTAGAAAATCCACAAGGAAGTAGAATTTCTAACCGTTCTCCCCACGCGGCCCTGGGTTGCCATGTGGGACTCCTGAGGGGCCTGCACCTGGCCTTGAAGACCATGAGTCTTCTAAGTCACCTAAGTCCTCTCCACCCTCTCTTTTCGCCCTTGGGGTTCCAGCCACCCCTTCCCCAAGCAGCCACCCCAAGGGCCTTTTGGCCTTGTCTTCTGCTCACCTCACACAACCCTCCAGTTCTTATTTACTCACTGTTCACTCGTTATTTGCTCAACAAATGTTTATTTTCTGGTCTGTCGCTAATTGGCTGAGTGATGCTGGGCAAGTCACTTTCCCTCTCTGAGCCTCAGTCCCCCTCCACCAATAAGATGGGGGAAGGAACCACTGCTGAGGGGATGGTGAGGTCTCTGAGAATACCCAGCCCATCCACCTGTTCTGGGCTCACAGGCCACCTTGGTTCCCAGGCTATCCCCGGTGTGTGGCACTAATGGGACAATGGTAGGGGTCCCCGGGGTATACCTGATATGGGAGAGCCGATGCTCTGGGGTCTGGGTGAGGGGCGACACTCTGCTGGTTTCTGAGCCCACAAAGCCACTGTCTGTCTCGGGTGACGCCATCCAGGACTCCTGTAAGAGGCAGTGTCCCTTTAAGTCTGAGGAATGTGCCCGAGGCAGACTAGGAAGACCTTCCCAAACCCTGGCCTGGGCCTCACATTCCAGAAGCTAAGAGACTGGTCTGGGGAGGCTGACCTAGCTCCCAGCATCCCAGCTTGGGCCCTCGGCACCCAGCGGGTGCAGTCTCACCGGGCCAATAGCAGAGACTCTGCACTCACACAGGGCCCTGAGCAAGTCCCCCTTCCCTGAGGGGTGGGGGCCAGGGCCCTGGTGAGGGATACTGCAAATTTCCTGAGCTGAGGAACAGAAAGAGGAGAAAGCAGTGCCATTATGGGATGGGGATGCTCATCGCCACGCGGCTTCTGGCCTGGGCCTGGGCTGCCATGGCCCTGTCTGACTACAGAAATGCCCCACCAATCAGGAGAACGAAATCCTCCAAACTTCCTGCACGCCGGGTCTCACGAGCAAGGCACAGAGGACACAAAGAGAGTCACCCAGGTGCCTGCCCTCATGAGCTCATGGTCTAGTGCAGATTCCTTACCACGGGCTCATTAGGACAACAGGGGTGTGTGTGTACTTGCTTACGTATGTGTTCTTCTATGGGAATAAGTGTACGTCCCATTCCCCTAGTGATCTGTGATCCTGGAACAGTCTAAAACCACGGCTCCGGTGGCACAAAAAGGGCACGGAGTCACGGATGAGCCCCCCAGCTGTGCTGGGCAGGCTCGGAGGGCTACACGCTCTCTCAGAGGAGGAACGGGAGCCGTTGGCAGAGGGACAAGGTGGGCGAAGCTAAGGCAGAGGGCAGGCATTGGGTATACGCCCTGTATGTTGGGCAGGACTGTGACTGGCAGTGACAGGAGCAGGCCTTCTGAGGAGGCACGGGGTGAGCAAAGGCCCGGAGGCAGAAAGCTCCCTGAGGTTCTGAGCCCGTTCCCCTGTGTGGACACCTACCTCCGGATGCGCACCACCAGCCTGGCGTAGAGACTTGTGTGCAAGGCGCTCAGAGACGCCGCTTCCCTCTAGGCTGGTCAGACTGCTCTGGTGGGACGCCGTGGGCTTGGCGCCCTGCGCGTGGCTACCCAGGCCCAGAGGAGCTGCCTCGGCCTTGCCCAGGCCCAGCAGGGGCCCATCTCTGGCCCTGGGTGCACGGAAGCCTGGTTTCCTGGGTGCCATCTGCTCCACAGTCTCCCTGGCAGAGAAGGAAAGGACGTCACGCCCTGGCCTGAGCCGGGCAGCCCCGTGTTGGGAGTCGAGCATCCAGGGCACAAGCACTGATCAGACACCCCTGGATGTCCACGCTGATTTGGCTACCTTCTGGCTGTGTGACCTTGGGCAAGGCACTTCCCCTCTCTGAACTTCAATTTTCTCAACTACAAAATGCAACGCCAATCAAACCCACCCAGTATAGCATAGAGGAAATGGTGTGGAAACACACGAGTGAAAGTGTCATTTCCCAGGCTTCGGGCATTTGCATCCCATCTTCCCTATTTCGGGCCATTCCCATAAACTTCGGTCTACTCAAAAAGACTTCATGTCACTATTATAGAGAAGAGCAGTGTTTTGTGTTGCAGAAAGAAACTAACATTGAAAATGAACACAAGAAACACAACAACAATATTACCATATTCTAGATAGATCCTGTTGCTTGCTAAAGGTTGTGGGCCTGGGGCCTGCTCTCTCCTCTCTCTTGAAAGGAAGGTGAAGAAAGACAAAATAGCACCGAGACCCTCTCTTCATGCACTTAGATGGTCTGAGACTGGCAAGGAGAATATCATTATTTAAGGCTGCTTCTCTCCTCCTGAAAATCACGCCCTGCACAGCCCCCAGTCATTCTGGGTGCTGTTGGTGGCTTACGTGGAGAGACACTGAGCTACAGGTCTAAGGCACTGTCTAAGCCATGTCTAAGTTGGGAAGAGTTGTCTCGCTCACGGAGACAATCACCACTCTCATTGTTTCAGGGTTGGATGGGACAAGTGGCAGGGGCTCACGGACGTACTCGAGGGGACTTCTCCCAGCCTGCACCGGGAGCTGCCTTGAGGAAAGCCTGCCAGTCTCTGCCATCCCTGGAGCTGGAGCTGACCCATCCACTGTCAGCGTGCTGCTCTGTTCCTCCTCCTCCTCTGTCCTCACAGCTTCTGGGAGGGACTTCACACTGAGGTACCTGCAGAAGGACACACGGACGGGGCATGACCCTTGTCCAGCAGGAACAGCCAAGATCCAGCCCTTGGGGCAGACTGGTGGGCACTCACCGCTCCAGGAGCCCATGGAAATCTTGCTCCCCCTGCAGCTCCTTGTGCCTGAGTCGGGCCGGGAGCCCCAGGGGCCTGGCCTCCACCCCACTGCCAGCGGGGCTCATCTCCCCGTTCACGTGCAATGCGCAGGGGTCAGCGCTGGTGGCGTCGGGCTGGGGACCAGAAAGGAGGAGGAGCAGAGATTCAGCAGGTACACAGACACCACTTGTTAGGGACCTGCCTCCTGTCAGGCTTGTGCTGGGTGGCAAAGAGTCAAAAGTAGGGTAGACTTGCCCACACCATCAATGTTTCATGAGCGTGAGAAATGTAGGGGCTGGACCACGAGATTCTCAACACTGTCATTAACTGAGCACCTACTACATGCCAGGCACTGTACTTCACAACAATCCTATCAGTACATATGGTTATTACCACCCATTTTACAGACATGTAACTGAGGTGCAAATGATTTGTCCAAAGTCACACAGAAGAGAGGGGCAGAGCTGAGATTTCAGCCTTAGATTTCCCGCCAGAAGCATTTCTCTTGACCCCTTCCATTTCAGTATAGACACCCAGCCCCCCAAAACACCTTCACTGCAAGAGCACGGAAGCTTTCATGCTCTCGGCCTTTTACCAGTTAGTACCTGGGGTAGCGCCTGCTAGAGGTTTCCCACCCTCTGGGGCAGAGCACACTGTGAGAGAATTTCCCCTATAACCCAGGGCCCCAAGACATCAGTGGTCATGGGTATTCTCCCAGTGCCCAGCTCTCTACCTGCACTGGCCCACCTAACACACTGCCTCTTCTCTTGCTGTAACTACCACCAGATGAGTCTTTGCAGCACAGGGGGCACGGAGCACTGGCAACAAGGCACAGAGATTCGGCCTCGGTCACCCATGTGACCATCGCAAAACAGATCATGACAGTCCCTCATGGTCTGTGACGTGGACTGGAGAAAAATTCTACCAAGCACCTTCCACATACGGCCCTTGATCAGGGTCTTCCGTCTCAGTGAACAATCTCCAAATGCATCTATTACCAAAAGCTACAAGCCTGGAGGTCATCCTTGGTTCCCTTCCCTCTCACCACCATTTCAAGTACGGTCAATGTGCCTGCTAAACCTCTCCCAAGTCCATGTTCACCACTCTGTCTGTCTGCCGCCTCCCGGTCTCTGACTGGCCTGCCTGTATATCCTCTTATGTCATGTCCTGTTGAAAAACATAGCCGTTTAAGACCAGATGCTTGATGTGTCCCACCAGCCCCTATATCCTGGGCCCCCACCTGCCTCTCCAGCCACATCTTTCAGGCAACTGCCCCTTCACTTTCATACTCTAGCCACAGGCCCTTTGCACAGGCTGTTTTCCCCGCTGGAAATTCTTCTGTGCCTGGTAATTCCTGTTCACTCTCAGATCTCATTTGAATATTATTTCCTCAGGGAAAGTCTATCTGACCCCCAAGTTCATTTACGTTACCCTGTAACCTATTCTCATAAAACCCTATAATTCTCCTTCATAGCACTGATCAAAATTATAATTATATAACTGTATAATTGGTTCAATGAGACAGAAAACTCCACGAGGGTAGAAACCACCCTTGTTTTTGTTTATTTCCTAGTGAGTCCCTTCCATGTGTCACGGGTTCTGGCATATGGTACATCCTTCATAAGTAGGAAGTAAAGAAGTTAATTAATGAAGAAATAAAGGAACAAACCAACACGATGGGGCAAAGAGGTACCTCTGGGCAGAGGGTCTGGCTGGCCGGCGTGTGGGCTTGTCTTGAGGGAGAGGACAGGCACGTTGGCCTGTGGGGGGAGGGCGTGGCTGGGGGGCTGTCCAGAGGTGAGTCTGACCCTGCTTGCTCAGGCTCCTGCTGATTCTGTCCCATGTAGTCCTTCAGCTCATCCAGGCGAATTCCCAGCTGGAATATCTCCGCCTCCAGTTCCCTGGAATTGGAAACAGCAGCACTGAGAACCGGGGGTGGCAGCCACATCGGCATGTCCAGAAGATGGGCTTCCAAGCAGACCCCAGAGGATGCACACGGAGGGTCTATTCCACTGGGATCAAGAGATCTCAGCCCGAGTCCCCCTCTGGCACCAATAGGCTATGGGACCTTGAGTAAACGCCAGCCCCCTCTGGCCTCAGTTTCCTCATTCTCCAATGAGGGGTTTCAGCTCTTATCTCCAAGGTCATTTCTCATTGCGGTGAGTCCACAAAAACACAAATCTCAGCCTTCAGTATTCACCCATTTGCATATGTGGCTAATCAGGACAGGACTTCTCCCTGCTTTCCTAGTGTATAAATTATGAAGGTGAAGTGCACCCCCACTGGTGCACCCTCCCTCCCTCCCTAGCAAGTACCTGCCAGGATCAAACTTCTCAGGCGTCCCCTCGGAGCCAGAGGGCTGCGGGGCCAGGTGCTGCTCCCTGCAGGCCTTCAGGTATTCTTCCTCCAGGGCCGAGTGGGCAGCCTTCAGCCGCTGGAAGCCCTGAAAGCACACCAGGCGGGGAAGAGCTGAGCGCCCAGCCCCTGTGCGTTCAGTCCCTGTAAACATAGGGGCCAAGACAGTCCATGGAAGCGCCATGGCACTCAGCCCGGGCCTGCGGAGGCCTCGGGGCCTCTGAGTCCCTGGGGGGCTGGGGCTCTCTGGAGCCTGCCTGCCCTGGTCGAGCTCTCTGCCGTCAGACTGGCAGGGCGCAGAGTCTCGGTACCAGCTCCGGGGAGCACCAGTCCTTCCTGGGTAGAACGACGAGAACCCCAATGTTCCGTGACAGTTGTAGTGTCAAATACGCCATCAGTGTGTCCCCATAAGGACCTAGTACCAGAGACCGTGGGTCTTCACTTATTTTCTATCCTTACCCAAGGCTATGTTTACTGATTTGAGAGAAAGAGAAAAGGAGACAGAGAGAGAGAGAGAGACATCAACTGACTGCCTCCCATACACGCCCTGACCAGGAACCAAACCTGCAACCGAAGTATGAGCCCGGACTGGGGAAGTGAACCCACAACCTTTTGGTGTACAGGATGACGCTCCAACCAACTCAGCGACCCAGTCAGGATGGTCTTCATTCTTACTTTGCAACACTGTGGGTTCTGGAACTTTAGTTACTCTTTCCCAAATCCTCACAGACTGTCATGACGGATGATGTTATCACCGTCACACTACTGACACAGATAAGTAACATTACTGAGCACTGAGGCTCTGGGCTAAAGCATAAAGCACTTCATGTTACTCCTTTGACTTTCAACATAACCCTAATAAGCTGGGTATATTATCATCTTCATTTGAAGAGGAGGTAACAGGCACAAAGTTGGTGATGGTCACACGGTGAGTGAGCAAGTTATAGAGCAGAATTTGAGCCTAGCCCTCTGGCTCCAGAGCTCTTGGACCTAACAATGATGCTTGGCCCGCACAGTAAATGTGGTAATAGCTACACGTGGCTAAAACTACGGGAGGTGGGATCACTAACCCTGGCGTAGTACCATCCCATCCCACTCACACTATGCTGACGACAGACTGAGGCCAAGGACAACCTAGTGTCTAGTCCCCATAGTCCCCAGTCAAGTGTGATTTTCCAGCAGCTCCCAACCTCCCTGTCTATGAAGGAATTAGCATAGAGGGGACCTCTATTAGCATAGCATGTAAGGTCCTGGATCAGCCACTCAGAGTGATACAATACATATCACAGGTTTGTGATTGGAAAATGCACACGGCGTCTATACAATTACACAGGGCAAATACTTGCACCATAATTTTTTCTGCAAACCAGGTGTGTTGCATCTGTCCCTCTGGGCCCTCGCCCTCCCCACCCTGTTCTGTGCCTCGAGCATCAATGGAGCTTCCCAGCCGCTGGCGTCCCATGGGGTCTGTCCAGTGGGAGGCACCTGTGAGAGGTCACAGGGCAAGAGGAGAGAGACCTGGGAAGGGATGCCTCTGAGCAGGTGCTAGTTGCTGGGTGTCCCTGTCCCCTGGCAGGCCCCTGATGCTGCCACACACCTGCTAACTGGCCCTTCACTGACCCTACACTCCCAGCTTTGAGCGCTCCATCTGCTCCTTTGGGACCCTGGCTGATGCGGCAGAAACGAAATTTTACACAGGACGAGAGTTACCTAGAAATACCAAAGTCCAAAAGGAAGTAAGCCAATAATGGCTAGATCAGGGCTGTTCCCCATGGTGACTTGCCGCCCCTCCTACGATTTTCAATTCTTTGGCAATTACTATCATACTAAACAAAATAAAAAAGGAAAGGCCTCTTTCTGGTTGCTGAGAGCAGGGTAATTGGTGAGAAGCCATGCAGGGCAGTGATGATGACCTTGGACTTGGGAATCAGACAGACCTGGCTCCCGGCTCTGCTGCCTATTAGCTGTGTGGCCTAAAAGTCACCTCTCTGGGATTCAGTCCCATCCCAGTTTAACTGGGGTGATGACTGTAACTGCCTTGCTGGGTTGTCATGATAAAATGAAATCATGTACTCAAAAAGCTTGCCACGATGCCCGGCATACCATCATGGCTCAGGAAGTGGTAACTACTGTGATACAATGATCATTATCATTGGAAAGCTAAGCAGAGGCTGTTTCTTCTAAAAGGAGACACTGTGTCTGGGATTCTCTGGCCTGTCTTGCAGCAAGTGAGGCTTCAGAGACTCCACGATGGGAGACAGAGCAGTTATTTGGCAGCTCTAAGGGCTTCTGCTGGAGTGGGCGGTACCTGGAGTTGGTCCTGGGGAGTCAGCTGTCCTGCCTGCATCAGGCCCGCAAAGGACTCCACCTGGACATTGGGAAGAGAAGGAAACGCACCCCATTAACCGGGACCCTGGAAAATGAGTCCTATGGACTCCTGCACTCACTCACATTCACGCTTTGGCCCGGGGCGCTGGGTCCCGCCTCAGGAAGTGGGTTTTCTGCCAAGGATAGAGAGGCGCGTGCCAGAAACTGACTTCATCGTTGAACTCAGCCATGGACAGCCTTGGGAAAATTAAAGGGGAACCTCCGGGAATTTATCAGCAGCAAAGCCCACTCATTCAGGTGCATGAAGAACTTTGAGGCAGGATATTCACTGCAGCATGGTGGGGGTGGGGTGGGTGCCAGGGGAACAGTTTAAATGCCTGTCTGTGGAATAGTATGCAGACAGCAAGAAGAGAAAGGCACGTGTATATGTTCTGATGTAAATGCCTCCAAGACCGACTTTTAAGCATTAAAAATAGGGGGTTAAAAAAGGTATAGGACAGTGTTTCTAGTATGCTACCATCTGTATAAAATATGTGGAGAATAAAAAGGGAAAAATATAAATATAATTGCTTTTATACAATAAACTGTCCCTAGAAAGATGCAAGAAACTGAAACATTGTTTCTGGGGAGAACTGAGTGGCAGAAGGACAGATGTCCCTCGAACGTTGAACAAAGTGAATTTATTGCTGGCCCAGAAAGAAATACTCAAACCGGGGACATTAAAAAAGCCAAGGTACCATACAGTTACGTGGCCATTTCTGTAACACATGTGTGGGTGTTGCACATTTTTGCATGGAACAGAAGGGTAGGGTGGGAGGAAGGACTTTTCCCTGAATACACCTGTGCACTGTGGGAGGGTCGTTGACACGTACATCTACTACTTTTACAAGAACTATTTTTAAATATAATAGGCAAAAGGCAAAAGATGATTTGGGCATCATTCCTGGTAAAGCTCTATCGAAATCAGTGTTGAAAAGTAACATAGAAATTTATATAATTATATAATCCACATAACATGAAATAAGAATGTAGGGGAGGCTCATATCTAATTTCCGATTTTCTAGTGATCATATGAAAAGTGTAGAAAAGGTGAGTTAAATTGAATATATTTTATAAATCTCAAATATTATTTCGACAAGTAATCCACTTCAGAAAATGATCCATGAGGTAGTTTACATCCTTTTTGTTTCATGGAGTCCTTGAAATCCAGCACGTGGTTTCCTGTACGTAGCCCCTCGGGCTGGACTGGTCAATAGCCACGTGATCAGTGGCTCCTGTACCAGACAGTCCAACTCTGGCTCATCAGGGCTCATCCTGCTCAGTGTGACGCCCTTGGCTTTACTTCCCTTTACAACGCACGGGACAGGGAGAAACCTCTCTCCAGGGACACCGTCCTCCAGAACGGTGGTGGCGCTGGTGCTATTACTACAGGGATGAGCCTGAAACATTATGCCAAGTGAAAGAAGCAGGTCACAGAAGGACGACTGTTACACAAAATGTCCAGGACAGGCAAACCCCTGAGGCAGAAAGTGGATGCGCAGCCACCAGGGGATGGAGGAAGGGGAGTGGGGAGTGACTGCTCAGTAGATAAGGAGTTTCTTATTGGATGATGGAAATGTTCTGGAGTTGACTGGGGTGCTGGTGCGTGACTGTGACTATAGTAAAAATGACCAAAAAATTAACTTTAAATGAGTGAATTGTACTTCAAGAAAGAAAGCTGTTAGCAAAAAAGAAAAAAAAAAGAAAGGAAGGAAGAAAAGAGAAGAAAAATGTTGGTATTTCTCTGAAGGAACTCGTTTTCGGAACATGGCGTTATATGTAATTACCCCATTTCCCTTTTTGCATTGACAACCTGGAAGCTCAAAGCCAAACACGAATCTGGTAGTGTTCAGGGTCCAACAGAATACTTTGTTCACTCACTTCCCCCTAAGTTCATTTTATTTTATTTTTCTACCCGTACTTCCTTTCTGCCCCAGTTTGCTCACTTCCGTTTGTGTGATGTGGTTATAGTGCATGTTTTTTCTAAGCCACTTTTAGAGTAAGGCCAAGTGTAGAGTTATAAACAGACTTACAAAACAATTCACCATTATTTAGACTGTTTGATGAAAATATAAAGGCCCTTTGAGAGGTGACTGAGAGTTGGCTTCTGTGATGAAATAAACTAAGAAAGGGGGCTGATTTATCGTGAAGGGGAAAGGTTGGGTGGAGGTCCCATTACCCTTCCAGAATCCTGAGAGCTGAGAGTGCCCCGGGGGCAAGCCAGGAGACCCTTTCGAGCACAGCAGGAGAGAGTCTGATGAGAGGCAGTGCCACAAAAGGACTTAAACTTGCACTGGGTGACGAGGAGGAGCCTGGAACCAGGGGAGGGGCTCACATTTTTGACACGATCAAGTTAGCAGGCGGAGGTTCTGTTTTCTCCACGTGACTCATGTCCCCTGGTAAGGCTGGGGTTCCACTCACCTTGGCCAGGAATCGACTAGCCTGAGACGCCAGCACCTGGGCCCTCTCTGCTGAGGGCTGGTCCTGAGCGACGCCTGGGTTCTCCGGAAGCCACCCTGGGGTGGGTGTGCTGAAGGGCGAGGAGGGGCTCGGATCTCCTTGAGCTGACGGCCACCCTGGAATATGCAACCACTGAACAATGGCACCAGGAAGCGCTTCCTGGGACTGAGGAACTGATGCCGCACCTCAAAACCATTGCCTCCATTGTCAAGTCACAGCTCAATGATCTCCCGATCACGCCTCCCTCACGTGGGCCCACAGAAGTGGGCTGGACAGCGTTGTCCCCACTCACAGGAGAGAACAAGGTCTGGACCTGCCCAGAACCACACAGCTGGAGCCCAGTCAGTCCTCGGCCCTCCCAGTCAGTAGTGTGGGCTCACACTTAGAAAGAGGTGAGTTCCAGTCCCAGCCCTCCCCCAGGTAGTGGTAGGGCCTGCAGCCTGTGCTCACCTCTCCGGGCCTTGGTCTCTAACTGCCCAGGGGTAACATCAGCATGCACCCAGCCATGGGGATTAACTGGGACCGTGTGTGGCAAGGCTGGGCACAGGGCCTGGCCCCCATATGGGCTCCACAGTGACAACACTCTTTGCCATGCAACTCGTCCAAGATCACCCAGTTGCCAAGTGGCAGAGGCGTCCCCCAGGCTGCTGTGGCTTAAAGTGGGACACTTCCCACAAAGGGGCCTCCCATCTCTCCCTCCCCTGGCCTGGAGCCAGCGCCAGCCCAAGGCAGACTCACAGATCGAAGGGGCCCTCCCGCGATGCCTCCTCTCACAACTCACCTGAGGCCTCGGAGGCCTGCAGGGCCTCGCTGGGCCCTGGCCACCGCTGCACAGAATGGGGCTGTGGGATGGTGAAGGACAAGACCTTGGTCCCCTGGGGCACCATCCCTGTGCAGATGCTGTGGCTGGGCTGGGGTGGGTCCGAGTAGAGGTTCACCTGCCAGGGAGAGAGGTGCAGGGAGAGCCAAGTGAGGGCTGGCGCACCCCCCACAAAAGGCCTTACCTTCACTCACTCAGGCACTCAACAAACGTGCCTGTAATAATAAACGCCTCCTTTTGTGGGGCCCTTGGGTGGGGAAGCCAAAGACTGGGCCAAGGGCTGACATTTCATTCTCTTTCTCTTTCTTTTTAAAAGATTTCATTTATTTATTTTTAGAGAGAGGAAGGGAGGGAAAAAAAGAGGAAAAAAGGTTGCACCCCCTATTGGGGACCTGGCCCGCAACCCAGGCATGTGCCCTAGACTAGGAATCCAACCAGCAACCCTTTGGTTCACAAGACGGCTCTCAATCCACTGAGCTACACCAGCCAGGGCTCATTCTCTCTTTAAGGAAGGCCCCAAAGGGAGGCAGGGCAGGGACCATCATTCCCATTCTACAGGAGAGAAAACTGAGACTCAGAGGGGTTGTCACTAACTCAAAACCTCCAACTGATAAACTCGTGAGCTGGGATTATAACCTGGCTTTTATCCCAAAGTCTGTGGTTTTTCATGCTAACAATTTTAAAATTATATTTATTATAATAACATAGTATAACCATAATAATATTATAATCAACATATTCAACATAAAGCAAATATTACCATATTATAATAATATAACACTTATTAATAAAAACTTTCTAACAATAGTATCGTACTGCTGATATCAGCCAGTAAGGCTGTTCGAGTGAATGAGTAAACCAACAACTCAATGAGCTACTCTCTCAGTGGCAGCTGACTGCTGTCATCAAAGGCACATGTGACATGGTAAGCAGCCCAGTGCGTGAGAGGTGTTTGGGGTCAGGCGGCTGGCCAAGGACACACAGACTCAGAGGAGGCCCATGTGCCACCGGGTGGTTCAGAGCAGGGTCGGCAACCCATGGTGTGCTTCGTGAGCAAGGTTGCAGTGAGCACGGATGTGCTCGTTCGTTTAGGTGTTGTGTACGGTTGCTTTCCCGCTACAACTGCAGAGCTGAGAGTTGTTCCTGTGGAGACTGTGTGCTCCACAAAGACCAAAATATTTACTATCTGGCCTTTAGCAGAGAAAAGTTTGCTGACCCCGAGCTCAGCATGGGAGCTCTGCAGAGCCTGAATTCCCACCCACTTGCGAGTCCTAGAGCATCTGATTTAACTAGCCTTTCTGTGCAGAGTGAGTGCTCAGTAAACAGCAGCCTCACATTCGCCGCCACCATCATCACTGCGGTCACCTCCGTGATCGCCATCACTGCAATCCCCACAGCTATCATCACCGCCTTCATCACCGTCATCATCACCAATCACCCTCCTTCTCTGCCCCTACCCCCTGCAGGCAGGTCCCTGGAAAAGCTACCCCCCTGAGGTGCCTCAGTGCTCCCTGCTCCTCAGTGTGTCAGGCAGCGTATCTTACTGCCTGGCGCGCTTCCCAAGGCCAGGACAGGGCACTTCAGGGTGGGCCTGGTGGAGGGAGCGCCTTGGCCCCCAGGCAGGCAGCCTCTCCCTGCTTAAGCTGCTCTTCACGTCCTGGCTGCGGCAGAAAAATCTGCTTCGAAGTGAGGGACAATGGTCCTGCATTGCTTGGGCATTGCTCCACCCTCCCCCCAACCCCACACCCCTACCCCTGCCTCCAGCTGCCTCCTCCTCTTTCAGGCCCAGCCTCTGATGAGAACAAAGCTGGATTTTAATAATCCCCTCAGCCATCTGCTCAGACCCAACTACGGGGCCCTGCCCACCAGCACCCCTCTCCTCCCAGGGTGACCCAATCTGGGGGAAGACCAGCCCTCTGTGTCACTCCCTGTCCCACCTGTTCCTCCCCTGGCCTCAGACCTGCCCAGCGTGAGGCCCCATTGTTTGAGGGGCCAGAAGAGCTTGAAGCAGAGGGGCCATAGGCTTGAGTGGATGGATCCCCTGAGTCGGGGAGCTGAAGGCAGCTGCGGGTAGCTACTGAGCTGTCTCCCAGAACACAGCGGGGGCCCACCCTGGGGCTCCATGGGGGTGCCCCATGGCGCCCCCAGAAGCTGGACTAGCTCCCTCAGTGGGGATGTCAGTGAGCGGTGAATCAGTGAGTGTGGGGAAACATTGGGTTAAATAACTGACTGTACTCTGCACAGATGGGTTTCTCACAGCCTTTAACATGCTAATGGGCTTTATGAATGGGGTGAGGAGGGGAAGGAGTGGAGAGACAGGAACTGTTCCGAAACCCCTCTGAATACAGAAACCTCTCCCTTGCCCCCCAGCCCTACCACATCCCACCTCCACCAGGGGCTCCTGGACCAACTAGTAGCTGTCCGAACATACACTTTTAGGAAATCCAGTTTTCTGTTATCCCGAGATTCTCTCTGGGGTACTTTCTGGGTCAACTCAGCCTCCCAGATGCCCCAGACGCTTCGAGGCAGCTGAGATGGGGGACAGAGGCTGCAGGGAGGTGGCACCAGAGCACCGAATGTGTGAGATCACTGTACACTCTGGCCCTGTGCTGGTGTGGAGAACAGAGCCAGGCAGTGACTTCTGACAGCCCTGGCTCCTGGCCCCACCCAGTCTGGATCCAGAGATGCTCCCAGGCCAGGCCACGGGACTTCCTGGTCAGCCTCCCCAGCTGCAGAACCCAGGGCCTGGTTCTGCTAGACAGTGCGGTGTGAGCAGAGGGCTTTGGGGCCAGACTGCATGGCTCATACCCCAGCTCTGGCCCCTATTGAGGCCAGATCATAGGCAAATTACTTACCCTCCTGTCTCAGTTTCCCCCATGGTAAACTCCTTAGGGCAGTGGATGGTAAATGTCACTTATTACTATTCTTATTCTCACTGTGACACGACCACCCCGCCCGGCCCCTATGCGTCTGCTGCGCAGGGTCTGTTGTTGTGCTTGCCCAGAATGGGGAAGAGCACCCACTTTGGAATCAGGCAGACCTAGGTTAAAACCCCAACTTGTGATCCATTGCCAGCTGCGGATGTAGAGCAAACCACGCCACCTGACTGAGCCTCAGTTTCCTCTTGCAAAGGGGATGAGACGAGGTAACCCTGGCAGTGCACTTGGCCTTGGCCTGGCTCCTTTTCACTGTTCAGCAAAGGCCAGTCTCCTTTCCCTGGGCCCCCACTGTTGCTATCTACCCTGGGTGCCCAGGGCAACATCCCTAGCCTGGCTCCCTCCCTAGGGGACTCTGAACAGAGTGAGGGGCTCAGCAGATCTTGGGGGGGGCTCACTCCAGCCAGCTCAGCCTGGAGGAGCAGGAACACACCCACCTCCCTGACAAGGGCTCTGAGCAGAAAGCCCTGCCAGCATCTCCCAAGCCCACAGGGCTGAGTCTGCAGAGCCCTGGACAGAGAGGCCTGGCTGGAAGCCCTAGGCCCCGTGGGACTGGCCACTCCCGTCCCCCTGGGCTCTGTGTCCTCAGCACGCTGGCACGGTGAGCCCTGCCCCACTGCTCCCCTGGGCGCTGCGAGACTGGAGGTCTGTGAGCACACTCTCCCGCTTCTAGAAGGGTCCAGCTAATCTGTGCCCACCCTTCTCTTAAGGAGAACCCACAGGCCAAGGAGTCCTTTCCCCAGGAAGTGGAAGTGGGAGTAGGTGGTTTGGCACAAGACCACTCCCAGCCTCTCCCACCTTCGCTCCTGATGGGGTCTCCGTCACCTGCTAGGAGGCCCAGGTGACCACACAGAGGGAGACCCCAGTCCCCACTGGGTTAGGGGAGTGCCCATGGGAGCAGTCACCATGGCTGTCCTCCAACCGTGTCCACCCCTGCCTGTGCCTGCGCTGTGCCTGGCACACGGACACCCAGTTAGCACCTTCCTAGTAACGCTGTTAATAACGGTAATAGTCTCTATCTCTAAGGAAGAACTTGCTGGGAGCCAGGTCCGTGCTCTCCCTACACCGACTCATTCCTTTCATGAGTGAAGGAGGAACAGAAGGGAGGGAGGGAGGAGATGCTTTGAGCCTCTGCTCCTGACCCTGACCTTTGGCAGCCTCTGCCCCTCCTGGGGTCCCAGTTCTCCCATCTGCGAGACAGGGAGCTGTGGACTTGGACCTGATGACCAGTTCCTTTTCCCCAGGTCCTTCTACAGGTCTGCAGTCATGAGAACGTGGTTTCCCGGGGAGGAGGCCTCACCCAGCCCCTCTACTGCCTCCCAGCACCTCCGCCCCTTCCACCCCTGGATCCGGCTCAGCGGTCCAGAGCTGTAAGGAGGCTTAAGATACTGGGTAGAGCCCACTGGCTTCCAGGAAGAAGACTGATGAACTCCCTTTTGCAGATGTGTCCAAGGAGGCTGGGGTGGGCAGGGACCTGCCTGTGTGTGAGGCTGGTGTGGGGACGCAGAGCACTGCTCCTAGGACAGGGCCCCTTTCTCACCTTGACCACCTGGAGCACACTTCAGAGAGGCACTGTGGTGGGGGAGGGGTCCTGGGGCGTGACAGGGGCAGGGCCATGTGGGGGTCCCATGAAGGGAGGCCAGGGAGAGGGAGGGTCTACCTCTCTGCACCTCAGCTCCCACCCTTTCCTCCGCTGCTACTTGATGGGGCAAGAGAGGGGAGGAGGAGGAGGAGGACAGGAAACCACAGGGGCTGCCACAGGTCTCACTTCCTGCCTCACACCAGAAAAGGGGAAGGTCTCACAGCTTCCTCCCAAGTTGGGGTGGGGGCTGGGCAGGATGGCGACCAGCTCTGTTTGGGTGGGTGGATTCCTCCCTCCATGCTCCCCTGCCACACGCTTGGCACTCACTGAGCATTCAGTCAGGGCATGAGGGGAGAGGCTATGGTCAATGGTGGAGAAGAAGAAAGACAAAGTTATGATCCCAGAAGGATCAGGTGGAGGAAACAAACACCCGTGGGGTGGGGGTGGGGGAGACTAAGAAGAAATTCTGTGCTTCCTCCTTGAGGCTCAGAGAGCCAAGTAACTGCCTTAAAGTCACACAGCTGACCTGTAATGGATTTAGGAATCAAGCCCAGGTGATCTTAACCTAGACCTCATCTAGGAGACAGCTTCTGGTGGCATCCCTAGGATTCTAGGATTCGAGGACATCCAAGATCATCAACAATAAAGGCCACTGAGCCTGAAGACTCGTGGGCAAGGTCACAAAATGAGTAACCTTGTGGTGCAACAAGGAAGCACTGGGTTCCACTCCCCCTACAAGGCAGGTGCCAGGAGGCAAGAGGCAATGGCCCTCTCGTTGACTGAAAAAGTGTCATCTGCAGGGAGCCAGGGCCCACACCTCCAGCCCACCCCAGCCGGGTACCTTGGCCCCCAGGCGCAGCTGGTCGATGGTGTTCTCAGCCTCAGCGTACTTGGTGAGGAGCTTGTGGTAGTCCTCCTGCAGGAAAGAAGACAGCAGGGTAGTCACCTGCCCGGGCTCCTGGCCGTGAGGCGCCTCACGGAGAACCTACCCTGCAGAAGGGCCTCCTGGGTCCCTAAAGTGAAAATCCTCCAGGGTTGGGACCTGGGAGACCCTTTCAGGCTCTTGTGTAATGCACACCCCTGTGGCCAAATTCTGGAGTGTCTGAAGCAGCGGGACAACTCACCCACCAGCCCTTCCACCGTCCCCGGCAACGAGTCAGGGGGCAGGGCCTCGGGACCGCTCCACTGCCACGGGTGCCCCCATCGCAGAGGACCACGACTACTCGCGTCCAGATTCCCTGCCCGTCTGTGGGCTCTGTGCGTGAGGCCCACGTCTGTCTTCCCTGCCGCCCCATCTGCTGCTTAAGTAGTATGTGCTTCATGAGTGCACTTGGATGGATGGATGAAGGGGTGATCACAGGCCCCCTTGGTAGAAAAATAGACTTGAAAATGACAGTTGCATGTGCTCAGAGCCACTACTTACCTTAAACAACACTAAAGAGCTTCATTAAAATGAGGGAGGGAAGCAAAAATAAACATCACCAGTTACCCCTGAGGGATGCGAGGGAAGTGATGCATAGTTCTGAAAACCGGTAACTAGGACAGAATCAAGCATCTCTCCTGTCTTTCCCCCACATGAACTAGACCTTGGTGACCAAATACTAGAGGAGGATCCCATCGAATGATCGTGGAAGGAATGATAGCATGAAGATACACCATTTGTCACCCTGAATGTAGGACTGGACCAAGGAAGTGGCCACCAGCGGCCACTCACATCACAGTTGAGGTCAGCAGGCATCCTCTGCCTCCTGAGGGGGCCGCCCAGGATGTGCTGTTACCCCAAACTCCCCAACGCCCTGCCTGAGTGGTGCTCGTGGTCTGGAGGGCAAACACATGGGTGATGACAACCCGAAACCCCTCCAGCTCTAAACTGATAACATGCAGGACAAAGGGGCGCAGGGGGAGACACTGTGAGCATGCGCAGGGCGGAACTGGCTCCTCAACAAATACGTGACAAGGAAGACAGAAATTTGAAAAGGAAGAAAGAAAAGAGGAGAGAAAAAGGAAAAAAAAAGGGAGGGGCTCGAAAGACACAATGGCCAAATGCCATGTACGAGCTGTGTTTGGGTCGGAATTCGAACCCACTAAGACAAACAAGCCAGTTACAAGACACATGGGGGGGATATGAATGCTGGCTGGATAGTGGCTAATATTAAGGAGCTGGTGCCAACTTTGGGTAGGATAACGGTTGTGTGGTTCTGTTTAAGGCAGAATTCTTATCTTTCTATGTGTACACTAAAATGCTTTTGAATCAAATGATCTGATGCTTGAAATGTACTTCAAAATACTCCAGCAGGGTGGGCGGGGCAAGGGGTGAGCCATGGATGGAAGCCGGGTGATGGAGGTGGGGGGCTCATTATACTGTTTTGTCTCTTGTGTGTGTTTCAAACTTCTTCATAGCAGAAGCTCAAGACAAACCAACAAACCTATCCTTGTAGCATGGGTGAGCTCACCTCTCTTTCTGAGCAAAGGGCTTGGGGACTATCTTCATGGCTGGGGGTATAACCTCTTCACCAGCAGGGGGCTCCTGGCCTGGCCCAAGACCCCCCATCCTTATCAGCAGCCTCCAACCCTCCCAGGCCAACCCTCCCTTGGTGACACGCCCGTAGAAATGAGTCTGGCTTACCTGGAGCTGATGGACCAGTTTGGTGGCTTGTTCAGGCGTCTGAAATTCTTGGGGTACCCCCGTGAATGGGTGGGGAGGAGGTGGGTCCTTTCCTGAGCAGGCTTCCTCACTGCTCAACAGCACCTCCTGCACAATCTCGGCGGGCGACTTGAAGATCAGTGGTCTGCCGGGGTCCCGAGCCTGCTTGCTGCAGCTCCTGGCCTTGGGTGGGTGGTAACTCTCATCTTTGGGGAATCTTACCCGGGGTCCCACCTTGGAGAAGTCAGGGAGCGGGTAGTTCAGCCGCCCCTGGCCGTACTTGGGAGCATCCGAAGATGAGTGGCCAGCCACAGCGGCTCCCTCCCTGGGTGGCGGCCTGTCCTGCCGGGCAGGCCTAGGCCGAGGATTTGGGGGGCTGACAGAGCCAGTGAATCGGGAAGGGAGTGCCTTAGGTGATGTCCGTGTCCGCTTCCAAGCTTGGTCCCCCGGCCGAGGGCAGGAGAGGCTGGTAGTCTCTCTCCTCCATCTGTCTTCGGGACACTGGAGGCTGTGGGCTGGGGGTGCTGAGTCCTGGAATTCCGAGGGGGTTGCCAGAGCAACACTTCCTCCAGTTCTGCTGTCTGAATTGAGGAGGTGGTGATGGGGGCTTTGTGGCAGAGCTTCTGCTAGGGCAGTGGCCTGGGGGACATTGGTCTCTCCTTCCCAGGTAGAATCAAGGCTGTCACTAGGGTGGCCGAGGCTCACAGTCCCACTGCTCCAGGACCTTGCCGAACTGAGGTCAATAGTTGGGTTGACCTCAGAATGTTCTGGAAGTCTGTCTCCACTGGCTTGCTTGCCAGAAGCCACCCAGCCTGTGGCCTGATCCCACCCCAGAGCCGTGGAGCTGGTGTTTCCATTGTTCCCGGAGCAGAGACCCGCCTTATACCCCGACCGTGGAGAGCTCTCTCCAGCTCCTTCAGCCTCATGCTCTCCGAGGGCCTCATCTGGCTCCTCTCCAGTCATGTCCAGTGCAGGATCCTGCTGGGGGAGCCAGCTGAGAGGCAAGTTGGAACTTTCTGGGCTGTCCACATCCTCTGCTTCAAACTCTGGAAAGAGAGTCAATTGCTTACCATATGTCGGGTCTGGACTGACTGTGGAAGTTGCCTAAGTCATTGCACCCCTCTGGGCGCTCATTTCCTTATCTCTTCACCCTAAGATTCCCAGTAAGGCCCAGCCCACATGGCCAAGTGCTTCCCTAACTTCCTCCGGTTGTCTCAAAGGTCCTCCGCACTCAAACCCCAAACCTGGTTATCCCCCACCCCTGTGTTTCCCGTCCCGGCAAATGGCAATATACCTTCCCATCCAGTTGCACAAGCCAGAAACCTGGGAGGCGTCCTTGCCATCTGTCTCCCCCTCACCCCCAGAATCCTGTCTGTCACCATGACCGCCTATAGCTGTCAAACTCACCTACCGCTCTGCAGTCCGGCCCCAGCACCTCTGCCCAAGACAACATCCTCCATCCTCTCTCACCTGGGAGCACCGCTGTAGCCACCTAATCAGCTCCTCAATCCTCACCCTCACCCACCTGAACACTCTCCAGTATCTTCCTGTTGTTCCCAGGATAGAGCTGAACCTTTACTACAGTCCCGAGGTCCCTGCCTCCGGCCCCCGTTAGCTGTCCTGGCCCGTCTCTCTCCAGGGTCCCCCTCAGTCTCTCCCGGCTCTAGTCACACCACATGCTCTCCCGCCACAGGGCCTCTGCACATGCCGGTCCCTCTGCCAGGGTCCTTTTGACCTCCCTTGGCCTCGGTGCCTCCTCTGTGTCCTTCAGACATTAGCTCAGCCTTGACAAGAAGTTTTCTCGCACCTCCCTTATTAAGTCAAATTCTCCCTTAATTCATTTTCAGAAGACTGAATACCTTTAATTTGAAATACTTATCACAGTGGCAGTTTTCCACTTACTTATGTGATTGTGTCATTAATACCACCCCCACTAGATTGCGAGTTCCCTGAGCATAAGGATACCGTCTGTTTTCATTTACTATTGTATCTGCAGAGTAGGTGCTCAATACTTGTTAACTGAGGGGAAAGAAGAAGAAAAAAGGAGGGGGGAGGGAGGGCAATAAGGTCGGCAAAGCTCCCAGAAAATGGGTAGTCATTGTAATTATTATATGGTAGGTGCTCAAGAACTATTCATTTATCCATCCGCCCAGCCAGTCACCCATCCATTACCCACCTGTTCATTGATCCATTCACCTACTCATCGGCCACGGAGTCGATGTTTATTGAGCACCTACTCTGTCCTAGATCCTGTGTAAGTCTTCGGGTAGACCCCAAACTTCATAAGACCCAGCCTGCACACTGCCAACCACAGACTCTCTGCTCTGGCCAGATGTGCCTTTGTCATTAACCCTTGTATCACCCTCTGCTCCTCCGCTATGCTCTCTACCCTACCCATGAAACCTGTATCCTCCGACTCCTTAAAATCTCCTTCAGGAAGTCTCTCTTATTTACAGCAGCATGCTTGGAGTCCAGAAAGGTTAAGCATCTTGGCCAAAGACGACACAGTGGTTCCCCGAAGGTCCAGACCTGACACCCAGGTCCTAGCCATCCACGTAGGCAAGTCAGTGTCTGCCCCTGGGGTTCATGCAGTGAGATGTGGGGAGGGGGCTTTGGAGCTGGGGAGCCCTGGGTTCGATCCTTGCCCCTCTGACCCTTCCTGGGGGCTATGGGCAAGTAGCTGACCCCTCTGGCAATCCTTACTGAGACCAGAGGCTAATCCCTCCTACCTGGCAGAGGGTGCTGAGGAGGGAAGGAGACAGGTCCCGCTAGCCCTGCCCCGGGCACGCAGTAAGGGTACAGGACATGGCAGCAGCTGTTACATCATAGCAGGGGGTTACCATGTGACCCCAGGAAGAGATGCCTCTGCCCTTTTCTCCCAGTGCGCCCCAGTCACCGTTCCCTGAGGAAGAGCTCACAGTGGCTCCTCATAGCTCTGGGCAGATCCAGCATGAGGGCTTTGAGTCATGGCGCATAAAAATGAGCACAACCCCAACCTAAGACAGTGTGTTTCCTTCCTCCTCTGAGTGCACCAGGCACCGTGCATTAAGCTCTTACTATGCCCAGTGGCACCCTGACTCCCATCTCACAGATGGGGAGACCAAGACTCAGAGAGAAGAAGGGGCCAAGCCAAACTAGCAAGTTAGTCTAAGCTGGTCTCAGTGCGAAGGGAACGGCTATTTTAGAAAAGAAGGAATGCCGCCATTCCCATTGCTAAGTGGGGTTTCGCAAAGTCTGAACAACGGCTCAACCCCTGGACCAGGCAATTCCCACAACCAAGGTTATTACCAAATCAAGTGTGCAAAGATGTGCTATCGACCTCCACCTCTGCATTGCCTGTAACAGCAAAAAGTGGAGACTACATAAAGGCACGGCAAGAAGAGAACGGCCCGGCAAATTTCAGAATCTGCACGCCGTGGAATTCCCAGTCGGCCGTTAGGAATGACTTGTGGAAGAGTATCTGATGAGCTGGGAAACTGCTCGTGTCTGTTAAGTTACAGAAAAGCAGGTCCGATATAGTTTGACTGTTCCACAGTCGTCTTACTGTGGTGTAGGCTCGTATGGAAGAGTTATCTGGATATGTCCTTTTTCATTTTTCTTCTGTTTGCTTTGCGCTGATATTTCTACCATGAACAGTAATACTTAAGTCATTTAAACCTTTAAAAATTTTAAAGTATAGACGTCATAGAATTTAAAGCTTTTCTAAAATTTCCTCCCACTCCTGGCCTCCGGCCAGAAGGTAGGATGTTCGGGGGACTGTAGGGTGAGGTTGGGAGAGGAAGTCTCACCTTCTTCTTCAGACTCTTCCGAGTCGGAAGCCTGGTGCCCATCAGGCTGCGACTCCAAGTGCCACTCCAGTGGCTGCAGGTGCTGCTGGGCCAGACGGAAGTCCTCAAGGAGCTCGGGGCTGGTGGCGGTGGGGAAGGGCCCTTCTTCTCCCCAGCCACGTGGCACACTCCCAACAGCATCCTTTTCCTCCTGGGCCCAGGCCCAGCGCCGCCGCTGGGGCCCCTTCCCCAGGCCGGGCTCGGCCCAGCGGACCTCCGTCCCCGAGCTGGCCATGGGGCCTGGCCTGAGCTTCACCTGGGCCACCCCATCTTCAGAAGATGGAGCTGCCACTACGGGCATCAGTCACCGCCGGCTCCTCTCAGCAGCAGCCATCCTGCCGGGGGCCTGCTGGGGACACAATCAGGGGACTGCATTAGTCCTCAAGTCCCCTCCTTTCTTCTGAACAAGAAGTTACCAGCAGGCACTTTGGAAGCAGACAACCTTGGTTCAGCTCCTGGCTCCATCCCCTTGAAGCTGTGTGGCCACGGGCAAACTGGGATAATAATTTCTCTCCCCCTCAAGAGCTGTGTAAAATGACCTGAGATACAGGATAAGGGGCCCGGCAGCCAGCACCCTGGAGGGTGTGGGATGCGTGCTAGCTATTGTTACTGGGTGCCAGACTCGGGCACTGGGCACGGGCCAGAGCCTGGGGGCGGGAGGGGGGCAGGGGTCCCGTGCAGGCCCAGGAAGTCAAGGAAGGCCCCGTTCAGAAGCTGCTGCTTCTGCGAACCTTTCCTGTCCGCCACCCACCTCCCCCACCGCCCCCACCATAAGAATTCGAATCAGAAGTAGGGGGATGGTGCAAAGAGCATTCCAGGACCCAAAATAATTGAAAACAGGTACTCGGACCAACACATGCACACGCGCATTCAAGGCAGCTCTGCCCACAACGCAGCCCGAACGTCGTCAGTGATGATGAAAAGCAATTTGTGGTATACACATATAATGCCGTCCTAATCGGCCACAAAGAGAAGGGAAGCGCTGACATACACTGCAACATGGGGGGGCTGGAGACAGGCTGCTGCGTGAAAGCAGCCAGGCACGGAAGGTCACGTACGGCGTGAGTGTCCCGACATGAAACATCCAGAATAGGTACATGCATGAGAAAGGAAGCAGCCTGGTGGTTATCGGGGGCTGGGGGGCAGGCACCTGGGGAGTGACTGCCTAAGGGGCCCAGGTTTTGGGGGGCTGATGAAAACGCTTTGGAACCAGAGATCGGTGGTGGCGGCACGACATTGTGAATGTACCACAATGAACTGTTCAATTTTAAATGGTTCATTTTTTGTTATGTATCACCTCGATTTCTAAGAAAGCATTCCAGGCAGGGGGCCAGCGATGACAAAGGCCTAGAGGCGGGAGGGTGACTGGTGGTGGTTTCCTGAAGGCTGTGGAACTGGGATTGGGCGATGGGATGGCAGAGTGTGGGCAAGGAGCGGTGGTGCCCAGAGCCAGGAGGGCCTCTCGGGTCCTGCCCCGGCCTTTGAAGAGCATCCCAGAGCCAGGAGAGCACGTGGAGGTGTGGCTTAGAAGCTCCTCCCCGGCTGCTCTGCGAGAATGAAGCAGAAGTGTGGTGGTGGTGGTGGGGGGGGTCAGTGTGCCTCACTCCTCCCCGCCTGCCTTCTTTCCTCCTTTCCCTCTTCCTTCTCATCTCCTCTCGACTCCTTTCCCTGCCCTCCTGGTAAGGCCAGCACTCCCTGGGAGCCACCTCTGCGCCAAGCACCACACAGAGCCCTGGAAACACAGCTGAGCCCTGGCCAGGTGCTCAGTGGGTAGAGCATCATCCCGATATGACGCACCAAGATCGCAGGTTTGATTCCCAGTCCAGGTACATAAAAGAATCAACCAGTGAATGCATAAGTAAGTGGAACAACAAATAAAAGTTTGAAAAAAGAAAGAAACGCAAGGTTGACAGCAGCAGACATGGTCTCACCCCAGGGGCTCGGCAAGGCCCCCAGGCCTCGCTCTACAGGTGGGCAAGCTGAGGCCCAGCCGCACATCAGCCGGGGCAAGGCTGGGGTGAAAGGTCACCGTGCAGTGGAAACAACTGAGTCCGGATTAACACCAGGCCTCCCAGGATAAATAGGCCTGTGTTTGTTTCCGCCGCCTCGTGAGCACTTGGATGTCGGTCAGAGTCTGCTTGGTGCAGCTGAGAAAAGTCGGCAGACAACTATTTCTGGAGAGAAAGCTCTCCAGGGACGTGTAGCCTGAGAAGGGCAGCAGCACTGGGGTCAGGAGAGGGAACGACCTTCTCCCTCTCCGGCTGCAACCCTGCTCCTCGGGACAGGGGCTCCTCAATCCCCTCTCTCCCCTGGAATGTCCTCCAGATGGTCCCACTACCTGTGCTCTATGTTCTCTTGCCAGCCTGGGCCAGAAGCTTCACCTGTATGTTCTCAAACAGTGAGTGGGTCACAGGAAAACTATCTTTCAGATGAGAAAACTGAAGGTCAACATGGAAGAGGAACTGGGCCAACGTCACCCAGCTGCTTAGAGACAGAACAAGACTTGAAACAGTTTGGGCCCAGCAGTCCCCCCATGCCAGTTTTTTAAATTATTTATTTATTTATTTTTAGAGGGGAAAGGAAGGAGAGAGGGAGAGAAATATCAATGTATGGTTGCCTCTTGTGCATCCCCTGCCGGGAACTGGCCTGCAACCCAGGCATGTGCCCATCCTGTGGTTCGCAGGCTCTAGCTCAGTCCACTGAGCTACACCGGCCAGGCATCGCCAGAGTTTTTTAAAATCACACAATGCATCAGCAAAGACATGTATTTGCTTGCATATCCACCACACAGGGCGAGGCAAAAGTAGGTTTACAGTTGTGAGTACTTGAAACAGAGTTTATCCTTGTGTTCATATTTTCCATGAGAACAACCGTAAACCTACTTTTGCCCCCCTCTGTATATTTCTTGTACACATGTACTAAACACATGTACTCTCATGCCAGTACAGTACATGTATTGAAAAATATTTCAAAAACAGATTTTAAAAAAGGTGCAGTAGAAAATACAGATTTCAAAGAGACATTCTAATCCTTTGTCTTATACCCTCAGGGGGGCCTGTACCCCTCTTGGAAAGTCCTGCCAGTGGGCCTTAAACTTGAGTGCTCTTAAGAATCCTCTAACAATGGCCCTGGCTGGTGTAGCTCAGTGGATTGATTGCTGGCCTGCGAACCAAAGGGTCATTGGTTTGATTCCCAGTAGGGGCACAGGCCTGGGTTGCAGGCCAGGTCCCCAGTGCAGTTTGCGTGAGAGGCAACCACACATTGCTATTTCTCTCCCTTTCTCCTTCTCTTCCCTTCTCTCTAAAAGTAAATAAATAAAATCTTTAAAAAGAATCCTCTAAGAATGCAAGACTTGTAGGTTGGCCCAAAGAGAGCCAAACTTGGTGGCCCTGGACGCGGGGCCCAGAATCTGCATTTGAACCAGCACCCAAGCAAGGCCAGCCCTCTAGGCTGACTAGACCCTCCCCCTGCTGCTACCATGGCAGGTGTAACGGATGCTGAGCTGAGCACTGTTGCTCTTCTATGTCTGAAACTTCTGCCCAAGGAAGGGGCTGGGGAGGTGTGTGGTTTTTTGACTTTTTAAAGGGCTTTTTTCTAGCCATGCCACCGAGCAGCCTGTCCAATCACAGAGGCCTCTGGGGCATAAAGAGGAACATCCTGTCTCCCGGGATGACTCAGTCAGCTCAGAAATCTCGCTGTGACCAGGGCAGGCCGCGCGTCAGAGGCAGCTGCGGTCACCGGCCGACCTTTGTGCAGGCGCCCCCGCCCCAAAACCTGCGAACCTCTCCTGAGCTGGAACTCCGTGTCCCACGTGAGCCCCAGCCCTCGGTGGCATGGAGCTCAGGACAGGCCAGTCAGCTTATTGGTCAGCCAGCCACACACACGAGTGCTGACCACATGCTGACCTAAGGCTGGACGAGGACACAGGCTCACGGGCTGCTGTAAGAGAAAAGCAGGCCAGACTTTGGAGACCAGGCCCTGGGCCAGGGGCGGCTGCTGCTGCACAGTGACCTGCCGGGCTGGTGTGCCAAGCACTACACTAGACACAGAAATGAGTACAGAAATACAGAAATAAGTAAAAGCATTCGAAATGAAGGGGGGGGGGACAATACAGAGGAGTAATTGAAAAAGTATTAAGTTGACAAAGAGGATTTGGGGGAAGAAGCAGCAAGAAGGACATTCCAGGCAGAGGGAACAGCATAGGCAAAGGCACAGAGGTTTGCAAGTACAAACAGAACTTGATGGAAAGCTATGGGCAGAGGTCCTCGAACGGCCGCCAAAGGCAGGCCCGTTCGGGTCAGCCAGCCTCCGTGAGCCGGGGCCTGAACCCAGGAAAGTCCCGTTAGCACGAATTCCCCTCAAGGGCTAAGCTGCTGGGTGCCGGGTCCCTGCCAGCCCTGGAGAAACTAACCCCACCAGGAAACACCAATCTCTACCCTCTCCTTTTGTACAGCTCCTCCCCTCCACCCCCACCCCCCTGCCCCTGGTTCTCGCAAGGGTGTATGACACCCTCGTGGTTTCTCTCTCCAGTTCCCGAGTGGGTCCGCCACCCCCACTCAGAGGCTTCTCTGCCCCCTCAGCCACTCCCAACCCGAGGACATGTTCCTTTATGTCTCCATCTCCCTGGTTGTCCTCTGCCACCTGCAGCCACACAGTCCGGCTCCTTCTTCCCATGCCTTCTAAAGCCCCTTCCCTTCCAGCTGGGACTGACCCCGATGCCGCCCCCTGCCTCCTCCCTGACTGTGACATCCCCCAGATGCAAAATGGAGCAAAAGAGAGGGGGCAGGCTCTCACAAGACCTCAAAGCCAGGAAGTATGGCCCGAGGAGTCAAACCCAGGGCCTGAGGCTCTGAAACCAAGTCCATCACACTTGGGGGGTAGCAGGGCAGGAAGAAAGTCCCCTATATCAAGTGGCTGGGCTCCTCCAAAAAGGCTGGGCTGCTGGGGTTGGAGCCCCAAACTTGGCCTCCCTCTGTGACCAGCTGGCAGGGCACAGACCTGCTGTCCTCAAGGGGGTTCTTGCCAGCTGCGTAGAAACGACACCCATTGGGAAGCACCAGGCAGCCCCCACTCCGGATAGACCCCCTCCAGCCCCCGGCTTTCCCCAGCAGCAGCAGAGGCCCTGGAGAAAGAGGAAAGATGCACTGGCTGATGCGAACTCCGATCCCTCCAGTCTGAAGAGCTGGGCTGGGTCTGTTGGACCATCCCTGGCTCCTCTCCATGCCCTTACATGGCAGAAGGGGCCAGTCTTTCAAGGGGACCCTCTAATGCCTCCTGGCCTGCTCCTCATTCGTATATTATGTCTGAGGCCCCTTAGCAGCCCGTGGGACTGACTTTCCATGTGCAGATGAGGACACTCCAGACACAGAGTGGGACCAGAGCTCGTCCAAGTTCACAGAGATCAGAGTCAGAGCTTGGACTGGAATCCAGCATCTCGAGGCTTGAGGAAATCCCCCTAAAGTCCACCCTTGCCTGGGTTTGGGGGCCGGGCTCCCCTGATCGGGGAGAGAAGTCACACAGCTGTCGCAGCAGCTGCAACTTCCTGGCTGGGCTGGTCCAGCCTCCCTGGACCGTCTCAGAGAGACTGTGACTGGCCCGTCCAGAGGGAAGGCGGCTTCCCTGCCCTCCTCCACTCCCTTACCTCTCTCGGGTTTCACCATCCCGCTGGCCCCTGCTCAGAGGACCTGCGCTTGAGGTCTTTGTTCCAAACCTGGGGAGCCCCCTGCCTCCATGGCGCCCTGGCCCACCACCAGGCCGCTCTGCCAGCCCAAGCTGCTGCTCACAGACAAGCATCGCTCCCCACCTCTCCCCGCCCCTGCTGCGGCGGAGGCCGCCTTGCTTAGGCAGGAAGCGCCCAGCCTGATTTCCTACGAGTGTTTGTCAGAAGGAGGGGGTTTGTCTGAGTGCAGAGTGAGAGTGAGCGGGAGGGGCTTAACCCCTTGCAGGCCCTCTGTGGGTCTGTTCTGCCCGGGAAAGGGCGTACGGAAACTTCCCATGTCAGGGCTTGGGACCATCACAGCCAAAATACGGACTGAGGAGACTAAAGCCCAGAGAAGGTCAGAGGCTTGGCCAAGGTCACTCAGCATACAGAGCCTGGAAGGAGGCCTCCAGCAGCTTCAACCCTCTAGGAGCTTTTTCCATAGCACCAAGTCTCCCCCTCTCACTAGGCCTCAGTGCCCATCTATACAATGAAAGCTCAGACTGGATGTTTGCTAGGCACCCGTCCAGCTCTGATTCTCCATCCTGTCTGCCAATATGCAGCACAACATCCCAGCGAGGCTGCAACGATTCCTGCCATCCCACCCACTGTCCTTGCCCCAAGCAGAGCCTATAGCTATAGTAGGATTTTCTAGGCAGCTCAGAGGTAGGAAACTAGCCAATCAGGTGAATTTCCCCTCTTGTTCCCAGGGCTCAGCAGAGGGCAAAGTGCTTTACCCCCAAGTCCCTCCTTCCATTCATTCATTTGACAGGTACTTACTGAGCATATTGTGTGCTGGGTGTTTTTCAAGGTGCTGGAAATAAGGCAGAGCATAAGACAGGCCAAGCCCTGGCTCCCCTCTAATAGAGACACAGACAATACACACACACACACACACACACACACAGAAAGACAGAGAGAGAGAGAGAGGTGTGAACAAGACGAAGAGGATAGGATGGAGCCATGTTCCATATCCCAGGCTGCTTTTGGTGACACTGATGCCTAGGACTCGCTCAGACCAACAGAATCAGTTTCTGGGCATCAGAGACTTTAAAGTGTCCCAGGTGACCGGGATGTGTGCCTGGTAGAAACTCCATGGGTCAGAGAGTAACAGGCTGGGGATGAGGGTATGGAGGTGGCCAGGAAGGTCTCTGTGAGAAGGTGACATTCAATCAAGGGACTGAAAGGAAGAAAGGGGGTGGAAGTAAGCCAGGAGAAGGGCTGGCGGCAGAGTGTTCTGGAAGGGCAAGTGCAGTGGGTAAGGTGAGAAGCAACTGGGCTTTCCCTGGAAAGAGCAAGGCCAAGGGTGAGAGAGGCAGGAGCCAGGATAGGGGCTGGCTCAGCACTCCGTCGCCACGCGCATGTGGCTCCAGCTCAGCCCCGCTCAGGAAATTAAAAGAAAAGAGAAAAAATTTAGTCTCCGTCTTGTCCAAAAAACCCTCCAGGTAATTCTCAGGAGCAGCCAGGTTTGGGAACCACCAGTGTGGAGAGAGAAATGAATCTTAGAGTTAAGGCAGACCTGGGTTCAACTGTCTTGCTAGCTCTGTGACCTCCGAGTCTTCACCTCTCTAAGCCTCGGTTTCTTACCTATAAACAAGGATAAGAGGAGCAGCCACCCTACAGGGCAGCTGCCAAGACCCAATGAGGCAACACCTGCAAAGTGCAGAGCCAGGGGCCTGACACGTGAGTGAGTGAATGAATGAATGAACTTTCCCTAGGTCAGCCTGTGCATATCTGGCAAAGCCGGGCCAGAACCAGGTGTCCACATCCCAGTTACCACCCCACCCCTGCCCCCTTCCCTGCCTTTTATCCACATCTGGGTGGTGGAGCTCAAACCACAGCTCCTAGCCTCTCATGGAGCACAGCCAACCCTCGTGAGAACCCCTCCCTGCCAGCTCTGGTGACCATGTGGGCCATTGTGCGGAGGGCGGGCTCCCCTGACACCCTGTCACTCACTCACTCTCCCTCCCTGGTCATTAACCCCGGCAGCACTGCTATCAACGCCAGGTGGCTGCCACCACCACCACACGCCTGTAGCCTGGCTCTGCTCAGCCTCTTCTCCCTCTGTCCTCCCCCCCCCCCTGTAGCTCCTGCCACACGGGGCTCCTTGCAATTCCTAGGACAAATGAACTGTGCTTCCACTCCTCACCCGGCCCCACTTCTTCTCCCTGTTAACTTCCAGGCAACCTGCAGATCCCAGCTCCATGTGCCCTCCTAGGGATTAGAAGTTAAGCCTGGCCCTGACTGGCATGGCTCAGTGGGTTGGGCATCATTCATCCCATGAACCAAAATGTTGCTGGTTCAATTCCCTGTCAAGGCACATGCCCAGGTTTGGGACCAGGTCCCTGGTTGGGGGCGTGTGAGAGGCAACCGATCAACGTATTTCTCGCACGTCGATGTTTTTCTCCCTCTCTTTCTTCCTCCCTTCCCCACTGTCTAAAAATAAAACAAAAATCTCTTTTAAAAAATAAGTTAAGTCTGTCTCCAACAATGGGAATATCTGTGAAGTGCTCACCATTACATTTCCATGCCCAGCTGCAGAAGCACAGTGACATATGACGGCTGAGCTACCGACTCTAGCCAGTTGCCCAATTCTGGCTTATAACTGTCAAAACAACCTCCTGAGGTGGGTGAGACATCCTCAGTGTATAGGTGGGTAAATGGAGGCCCGGAGAATTCAGGCCACTTGCCCGGGGTCACAAAGCTGGGGAGTGACGGCAGAGACCCAGACACACAAAGACCCGACTCGCAATGACCATGCTTGGTGTTCACACTGCGGCAGCCTCCGGAGATAATGAATAACCCAGGAACGGCAGGGTCAGGGCCAGAGCTCATTGCCACCTAACTGCAATTCACCGGGCCCATGTTCTGACGTTAGAACGAGGCTCTGGTGAGGCTGCAGAGCTTTTGTGTTTTCTAAGGTGCTTTCTCATCCTTCATAACACCAGACGCTGGAGAGCAGCTTTGGGAAGTGGGCAAGACAGGAGTACGGTTCTGTTGTACTTGTATAGGCGAGGAAACTGAGGCCCAGAGCTGGGGGAGAGATTAGTTCTTGGTCACCCAACAAAAAAAGTAAAACCCTTTGGCCCCTATGGATAGGGTGTGGGTTCTTTCACCAGAAACACACCTGCCTGTGGCCGAGTCAGTCCTCACCACGGGAGCCCAGCCACCTTCGGCCACTTGTCCCTGCAGCCCCTGGGTCGTGATGCTCTAACTCCCCCATTTCTTACCCACTCCCCCAGAGTCTGCCCACCCTGCCATCTCCTTCCTCCTCAACCATTCTTGAGCCCCACCTAAGTGCCTGGCACATTAGCCAGACTGGAAGGGCAGTCCAAGCCTTCTGGAGCAGCCCGGGACACCGCCCAGGACCGGGATGGGCGTTCCTTGCTGATGGGATGAGCCCCCCGGATGGTCAGTCACTCTGTCACACAATGTCCTAAGGCCCAGGAGGTACAGTGGGTCTCAGCCATCCTGGGGAAAACCAGGGGCAGGCACCTTCAGGAGCCCTGGGAGTGGAAGGTTGTATTATTTCATTCTCGACCACCGACCACCGCTTGGCCCCCAACTTCTCCCATTTTCCTGAGAAAGAAATGAACACCCACCCCAAGGTCACCCACTCCTTCCTGCCCAGGCTGCTGAGTTTACCTACAGTGAACCTGCAGTGAAAATCCATAGGGAATCTGGGCCTGAGAGGAGGCAGGTGAGGATTTCAGCAGTGAACCAAGGAGGATGGATGGGAGGCTGGCTTAGGAGGTGGAGGCCCAAGTTCAAGCCTGGGTGACACTGGTCAAGGGCCTTCGTTCCCTCAGGGCTTAACGAGATTATCAGAAATGACTGCCCAGCACTAAGTCTCCTGTGTTCTTTGATTCCACCTGCCCACAGAGGCAGAAATGCCGTGCATATGGGAGGCTACAGGGCACAAGGGTTGGGGCACATGGGCTTTTTGGGTAGTCATAGAGACCTCCAGGGTCTCTCTTGAAAGCTGTGTGGCCTTGGGCAAATTGCTTAACCTCTCAGAACCCCAGATTCCTTATCTATAAAATGGGAATGATACTGACTTTATACCATCCTTGGGATGGCAAATGAGACCGTGTGCCTAAGGTCCTGGCCCAGGGCCCAGCTGGCACATACCCTGCACATAAATGACTTTGGCCGTCTTCGTGAACCGCCCAGATGGCTGGCTCCCTGCAGGGCTGGGTTTAATTCTCCCGGCTCTGGAGCTTCCCCCATGTCAGCCACAAATCTAGTTCTGGGTCTGATACACAAAAAGGGTCAGCCAGCCCTCCCAAGTGGAGAGAAATGCTGCTACCCCCGTGTGACCCTCTCCCTGTGGTCCCCAAACCAGTTCTGAGAGTCACTGACCCAGCTAGAAACTGTGTCCCCACCCTGAATACTTAAGAGAGAAGGAAACGGCCTTTCTCCACTAGATAAAACATGGGCTCCGAGGGGCATATGACACACATGTGGCATGCGGAGGAAAAGACACACATACACACTCGCACATTCATGTTCTGCCAAGAGTCAAACAAAAAAAGCGTGCATGTGCCAGAAATGCACTGCCAACAGCAAAACTTTATTGAGCACCTATTATGCGCAAAGGTCTTTCCATGGATTAGGGTCTGATTGTCTAACCCTCATACCAAGCCAAGGAGGTTGGAACTATGATGCCCATTTCACTGGATGGGGCCTGGGTTTGAACCAAGCCGTCTGAATTCAGGCTGTAAATCATAATCACTTTGCAACAGAACCTGGAAGAAGGTAAAAAGTTTGGAAACAACTGCAGCATCCAAAAAATGAGGGATCATTAAATTAAATTATAATATTTCCACTCAAAGAAATATTATGCAGTTATGATAGTCATAGTGTAGAATATGAAATGATGTAAAAAAGGTGATATGTTAAGTGAACAAGCCAGTTATAATATAATACATCTAGTCTGAGTCCATTAAAGAAGAAAGCAGTAAAATGTGGAAGGGAAGGGAAGGAGGAATGAGGAAAGGAAGGCAGGGAAAAGAAAAAAAGAGAGGTGTCCCAAAATGTTTTGAATAATTATTACTAGTTAGTAGAACTGAGACAAGTTTACTCTTTTTCCTTATGTGTCTTTTCTAAAAATAACGGTT